ATTCCCAGGTTAGCCCATCCCCTGCCAGCCTTACATTCCCAGGTTAGTCCATCCCCTGCCAGCTTTACATTCCCAGGTTAGTCCAGCTCATTGGACATATAAACTCTCCAACACGGCTATGTATGGAATGGTCTTTCTTCTTACTGATGAACTTTTAGCAACTTCTTTATGAAAATGTTCATGCCGAGTTAAACTGACACCAATCCCCAGTGCAAGTTCAAAACCAGGAGTCTGTGACAACAGTCACCTCTTCAGCTAATCACTGAGAACCCGGGGCAGCCAGTGCTGGCCAGATTGTTGGCAGTAAGACAACCATTCCCAGGTCGTCTTAAACAGGGCCACTGCAGAAGTATCGGACTGTGACCTCTGCTCATCCCCTCTCCCGTGTGTTTCTTTTCTAGAACTATAAACTATGGGTGACTGGTCTCTTGCCTGCGAGTCCCTGAGGGACTGCTGTGGCCTCTGTACCCGGTGAGGAGGAGCATCAATGGGACAGGCTGCAGGAGAGCTTCAAACAAGCAGCTGGCTGTGGCAGAAGAGTGTGAGCAGGTGGGATGGTGTGGCTTTACCTCTTGTCAGCTCTGTATCACTGTCCTCAGCAGTAAACGGTGCTTCCTGGAGGCCCAGAGCCCCCAGCTTCATGAAGGAGGAGCGCTGGGCAAAATAGCTGTACCGCTGCTCCGAGAGCTTTCCAACCCCCCTTCTTTCGTTTCCTTTTTTAAAAATTAAAATTCTCCTTTTTAGAGCAGTTTTAGGCTCACAGAAGAATGGTGAGTGGGTTCCATACACTGCTGCCTGCCCGGCATACTCCTCCTGCGGGGTTGCATTTGTCACAGTGAAGACCCTCAGGTTCTTAGCTTAGCTGACACAGCATGATTGCACAAGGCCAGGTGACTCTAGCGTCCCTACTTGCATAGTGCAGTGACACCCACCCATCCAGCATTACAGTGTCATGCAGAGCAGGACCACCTGCATTTGTTTCCCCACCCCAGCCACCCCCACCTTATCACCACCACCCCCTTTCCATTCTCTGCCTTTCCCAGGATGCTCTCATTAGATCGGCTTGTGCACTGCCCCCTTCCCAGATTACTTACTTCACTCCTCCCAACGGCGTCACACATGAGGAAACCTAGGTGGAGTGAAGTGACACAACCTATCTGGGCTCACCCAGCTAGCAGATGTCAGAGCTAGAGTCCAAGTCCAGAACTCCAAGTCCTGTTCGCTTGGCCCAGAACTCCAAGTCCTGTTCACCTGGCCCCTACATCTTTGTGATTATTTTCCCTAGCCAGGAAACGACAGAAGTTCCCCAGGGTGCAGCCTTGGCTCTGTCTTCACAGCTTCTGGCTGCAAACACAGACTCCATGAGGAAGCAAGAGGTGTGGACAGATAGAGAGACATGCCTGGCCTACAGTGCTGGCTCCCCAGCTGAGCAGGTGAAAACCCTTGTGGAACTGTTGACTGGGAAGGGCAGTCAGCTGCTACAGGCCCATAACAAAATGCCAGACCCCCCACTGGTATCCCAAAGCAATGGTAAGTCTTCCATGGGGGTGGGGGTGTAGGTAACAGGGGAGGCACCTGAACCCTCTCACCTTGCCCCGGCACTTTACCTTCTTGTCCTGTGTCCGGCAGAGTCAAGGCTACGGAAGCACTGTGAGGCCCTGCTGAGCAGGGTGGGAAATGACCCAGAACTGGGCAGCCCCTCACACCGGCTGGCCAGCCTCATGCTGGTAGAGGGCCTGACAGACCTGCAGCTAAAGGAGCATGACTTCACACAGGTGGAGGCCACACGTGGTGTCTGGCGCCCTACCAGGGCCATCACCCTGGACAGGCTCTTCCTGCCTCTGTCCCGGGTATCCATCCCACCTCGAGTCTCTGTCACCATTGGAGTGGCTGGCGTGGGCAAGACCACGCTGGTGAGGCATTTTGTTCATTGCTGGGCCAGAGGACAAGTGGGCAAGGGTTTCTCATGGGTTCTGCCCTTAACCTTTCGGGATCTTAACACCTATGAGAAACTGTCTGCAGACAGACTCATCTCCATTGTCCCAAATGTTGGGGGAGCTAATCTGACAATGATGGCCCCAGACAGAGTCCTCCTGGTCCTGGATGGCTTGGATGAGTGTAAGACACCCCTGGAATTCTCCAATACCATGGCCTGCACAGACCCAAAGAAGGAGATCCAGGTAGACCACCTGATCACTAACATCATCAGAGGCAACCTCTTTCCAGAAATTTCTGTCTGGATCACTTCCCGGCCCAGTGCTGCTGGTCAGATCCCTGGGGGCCTAGTGGACCGGATGACTGAGATTCGGGGCCTTACAGAGGAAGAGATCAAGGTGTGTCTGAAGCAGATATTTCCAGAGGACCAGAACCTCTTAGGTCAGGTTCTGAGTCAAGTGCAAGCCAACAGGGCTCTGTATCTGATGTGCACCGTACCAGCCTTTTGTAGGCTCACAGGGCTGGCACTGGGTCACTTATACCGCACCAGGCTGGCTGTCCAAGACATAGAGCTGCCATTGCCTCAGACCCTGTGTGAGCTCTACTCTTGGTACTTCAGGATGGCTCTCGGTAGGGAGGGGCAGGATAAGGGAAAGGTAAGTCCTAGGATCGAGCAGGTGACCCAGGGAGCTCGCAAAATGGTGGGGACATTGGGCCGCCTAGCATTCCATGGGCTGGTCAAGAAGAAATACGTGTTTTACGAGCAAGACATGAAGGCGTTTGGAGTGGACCTTGCCCTGCTGCAGAGCGCTCTGTGCAGCTGCCTCCTGCAGCGGGAAGAGACCCTGGCCTCCTCGGGAGCTTACTGCTTCATCCACCTATCTCTGCAAGAATTTGTGGCGGCTGCATATTACTATAGTGCATCCAAGAGGGCCATCTTTGACCTCTTCACTGAGAGTGGCATGTCCTGGCCCAGGTTGGGTTTCCTTGCCCATTTCAGATGTGCAGCCCAGCGGGCCACACAGTCTAAGGATGGGAGGCTGGACGTGTTCCTGCGCTTCCTCTCTGGCCTCTTATCTCCAAGGGTCAATACTCTGTTGGCCGGCTCCCTGTTAGCCCAGGGAGAGCATCAGAGCTACCGAGACCAGGTGGCTGAGGTCCTCCAAGGCTTCCTACATCCTGACACTGCAGTCTGTGCACGCGCCATCAATGTCTTGTACTGCCTGAGTGAGCTGCGGCACACAGAGCTGGCCCGCAGCGTGGAGGAGGCCATGCGGAGTGGGACCTTGGCTGAGATGAGCAGCCCCTCACACCGCTCCACTCTGGCCTACCTCCTGCAGATGTCTGATATCTGCTCCCAGGAGGCCGACTTCTCCCTGTGCCTCAGCCAGCGTGTCCTCCGGAGCCTGCTGCCTCAGCTGCTCTATTGTCGGAGCCTCAGGTGGGTACTGGGTCAATGCAGGGAGTAAGGGCAAAGGAGAAAGATTTGGAATGGTTCTTTGCTTCATCATGGCCCTTTCCCTGTAGCCTGCTGAGGTGGCTAGAGTTCCACAGCTGGGTGCTTAAACCATCGTAGCAACTGATCTTGTTCTAGGAGCCACCAGTCTGAGGTCAAGGCACGGGCAGTCCTTCCATGAAACCATGTCAGGAGGGCTCTTCCTGCCTCTGGAGCTCCTGTGGGCCAGCAGTCTTTGCTGCTCCCTCTCCTCCTGTCACCTCACTGTCTGCCCCTGTGTCTCTGTCTACACACAGCACTCACTTTTCCTATAAGGCCATTATCACACTGGATTATTATAGGTCTGCCCTATGTCAGTGTGATATCCTCTTAGCTATTAAGTCTGCAATGAGACTTACATCCATAGGAAGCTACGCTCTTGAGACAGCAAGGTTAGAATTTCAATATGGAAATACAACCAAACTCAGGAGACCCTCTGAAACCAGGCGTTGTGACTCACACATGCAATCCCAGCAGTCAAGAGGCTGAGGTAGAAAGACTTCTGGGTTCCAGGACAGCCTGGGCTACATCACAAGATTTTTTTTGTGTGTGTGTGTATAAAACAAAGACTGTGTAAGCCAGTTGACAGAAGCTTCACCTGAAGCTCATACTCTGAGCCAAGCAAGCAAATAGGAAAAGATGTCGAAAGGTCAGGACCTGAGAGTGGTTTTGGCTCCCTCAGAAGTAAAGCTAGGCAGCAGAGGTCTACACAGGTGTACAGAGCTGCGGTGACAACACACTGCAAGATGTCACTTAAGAGGAACAACACAGGTCCCAGGAACCACCTCAGGTTACCTCAGGTTACCTTAGGTTACCCCACAGGGAAGTCTGGGCATCATGAGTGCGTGAGTCTACAGGTCTGAGCTGAAGCAGTAGGACCACAGTGGGGTTGTGAGGTGGCAGAGGCTCTGCCCTGATCGTGGGCTGCAGGACTACTCACTGTCATGGCTCCCGTGCCCAGGCTGGACAACAACCAGTTCCAGGACCCTGTGATGGAGTTGCTGGGCAGTGTGCTGAGTGTGAAGGACTGTCGTATTCAAAAGATCAGGTAACCCACTCCCCAGTGAATCTACCTGTTGCATGGGCTAGGGCATCTCTTCCATTTCTGCTCAGTTAACCAGTGGCACCCTGGGGACAGGCATCGTTTCAATGTGTGGCTTAGAGTGCAGTCTGCTCTTTCCTCCCCTTTGAAAGTGCCAATGGATCGGGTGCCTGTCTGTAAGAAGAGGGAAATGACCAGGGGAGACTTGGACTCTGTCAAGTCCTCACTCTGCTGCCCTGGCTTGGGCATCACCTTCTGGATGCTTCTCCCAATATTTACTCTCTGAGCACAGGATTACATCTTAGGTAAAACTTTAAAAGCTTAAAGTTTCACTTTTAATTTAAATAAATTTAAGGTGAAATTTTAAAAATGTTTTTAGGCTTATTTATATGAATATTTTGCCTACTTGCTCTTTGAGTCCACAGATGTCAGAAGACAGTGTCAGATCTCCTGAATGGGAGTAAAGATGGTTGTGAGTCGCCCTGTGGATGCTGGGAATTGAACCCAGAGCCTCTGCAAGAGTAAATGCTCTTAATAGCCAAGCCTTCTCTCCAGCCTCAAAATCGTTTTTCTTTTTTGACACGGGGTCTCGTTAGTCCAGTTTTGCCTCAAACTCACTGTGTAGGTGAGGCGATCCTGAGCCTGGATCCTCCAAATGCCGGGGTTACAGCACTGTCCCATCAGACCCAGCTTATGCTGTGCTGGGGTGGGACCCAGCTGTCATTCCTGTCATTCATGCTAGCCAAGCACTTCACCTTCTTGAGCTAATTCTCAGTCTGTTTTCAAAAACATAAATGTAAAACTTTGTCTTTAGCTGGGTACAATGTACATGCCTGTGATCCCAGCACTCTAGAGGCTGAGACAGGAGGATTGCCTGGACTACACAGAGTGAGGTCCTATCTCAAATAAAGTCAAATTACACTGCTTACGCTGTAACTAGAGAAAAGTCTGTATACTGACTTAAATGCTTATGAAACGCCTACACTTTCAGACGTAAACAACACTTGGGCTTGTGGACAGAGCAGTATGGAGATGGTGGGAAGGCTCCGGAGACCCGTGGAGTAATTTTAGAGGGGCTTAGGGAATGAGGTGGGGGCTGGCTATGCCTTGCTAGTGAAGGGTAAAAAATGTTATCCCTCCAGGAGAGAGATGGTCTTGACAGCTTCTCACGAATGTGCTGTCTTTCACAGGCAGCTCTAGGCCTTCAGCAAATGACAAAATATCCAAATATCCAGCAATTAGTGTCGCTTAAAATGAGTCTCATGCTTTTTCCTCTCTGGTCCTCAGTGACACTAGTTTACAATGTCCACGTCATTCTGCAGAAAAACACATAAGGCTGCTTATGAGATATTATTTATACATGATATAAGTCCTGGGCCAACAAAAGGACACTGGTCTTCAAACATTTTGACGGTGGAGGGCAGAGAAACAAGGTCTTCTGTAGTACAGGCTGGCCTTGAACGCACATGTAAACCAGGCTAGTCTCTGACCCATAGAGATAGGCCTGCCTCTGCTTCCCAAGTGTTGGGATTAAAGGGCTGCTCCACTATACCTGTCTCAGATTTATTTTTAAGTCATGGAGCTCATCTGAAAAGCGGCAAATAAAATGCACAAAGGGTGAGCTGCTGGCACTGAAGGTGCCTGGTCCACTTAGCTTCCCTTTGCCTTCCTGGTGGCCAGGTTACCCAGCACCTTCGGAAGACACTTGATTCAGACACTGCAGGGATTCTCATGCTTTACTCTAGGCTGCTGCCTACAGAACTAAAAAAATCTCAACTCAGGAAGCAAAACTGAGTGCATCCACGGAATGCCTCTGGAACACCTTTCCAGGCATATAAAGATGAACATTTCTTTAAACTTAAAAGTGGTAATTCTGCCATTTGCTGTTTTGTACTAGAGGAAGGCTAGTATCAATGATTTGCTCAAACTAGTTTGTACTAGTTTCTGAGCACTATGGATTTTTTTAGGAATTTCATAAGCCGAAGGTACTTGAAATTAGCCATGGTTTGGGGCATTTGAACCACAGAAACAGCACCAGCTTCAATATTTTGCCTTTTCTTGAGAGCCACATGAACATAATGCCGCTAGACAGGTTTTAATACCAGCAAAGCCAGTATGAAAAATTTTACTGCATTTATTGTAGTCTCTGTCTCTCTGTCTCTCTCTCTCTCCCCCCCACCAAGCCCCCCGTGTGTCTGTGTGGAGGTCAGAGGACAGCCATAAGAGTCTGTTTTATCCTTCCAGTATTTGAGTTCTGGAGATCAAATTCAGGCTGTCAGGCTTGGTAGCAGGTACTTTTAACCTCTCAGCCATCTTCCTGGCCCCAAATACAAGACTTCTATTTTCTAAACTCTTGGCTGCACATTTGTAAAGTAGGTATTGTCCAAGGTGCTCGATGAATTTCCTTGTGCCCCTTTGTCAGGGTGAAGGCCATCTGGCCCCCTCTGACTCTATCTTCCCAGGCTCAAGGGTCTTCCTATTCCTAACTTTCTGCTCCACAGTCACCTTGTCTCTGCTTCTATCCATGTGGGTGATGCTGGGAAAGCAAGGGTTAATCATGAGCCTAATATCAAAGAGGAGGCAACCAGTCACAGACTTGAAAGAAGCACTCTCCCTCTTTTCTCTGGCAGCCTGGCTGAGAACCAGATTGGTAGCAAAGGAGCCAAAGCCCTGGCCAGAGCCCTGCTGGTCAACAGAAGCCTCATCACACTAGAGTAAGTAGGAGTCTTTGGGCCCCTGGAATAGAAGAATTTTAAGCTGTCTCTTTGTGTATGACATGTCTTGAATTTTCTCCATCCTTTCTCCCAGTCCCAGACTCAGCCCGTTTAGAGCAGAGTCAGTGGGTGAGCTCTTGGAGACCACATGTCCTTCCAGGTGGCCAAAGCACAGCTGAGAAAGCAGTCACCGATCATCTCTTGAACTTCATGTCACAAAACATTTGATTTTTGTGTAACAACACTAGAATATGTCTTTGTCGTATATGTCATGTGTAGGATATATGTCACAGACACACATATGAGTGTGTGTGATGTATATGAACACACAGAGACATACATTTGATGTTTGATGGAATCCTGGCAGAGATCATATATGTATGTGGTGTGTGTGTGTGTGTGTGTGTATGATATATATTGTAGAGAGAATGTCTTGTGTACTCTATGGAAGTATCACTTGTCAATAAAAAAGATGTTGGCCTATATATATATGATCATACACACAGACACACATGTATATGTATATATGTATGTGTGTGTATATATATATATGTATATGTATATATATACATATATATATATGTGTATATATATATATATACATATATACACATATGTATATATAAATATTAGCTGTGGGCCTTTCTACTCATGCCCAAGTTCCCGAAATAATGACTCTGTGATTTATTATTTAGGAATAATTACCTAGGCCATAAGCTTGGGCTCATTCTCTGACTATCTCACAACGTAATTAGCCTGTTTATTCTATCCTAACTCTTGCCATGAAGGTAGTTGCCTCTCCTCAGGTACCTACGACTGTCTCCATCAGCATTCTGGGTGAATCTATTTCTGCACCTGACTCTATCCCAGAATTCCTCTCTCTCTGCTGGAATCCCCCACTTCCTATTTCCTGCATTGGCTAATAGGCCAAAGGCCTTTTTATTGACAGGTGATGCTTCAACATCATACACAAGGGATTCTCTCTACAGTATCACACGCACGCACGCACGCACGCACGCATGCACGTACTTACGCACGCACAAACACATGATCTCTGCCATGGTTTCATCAAATGTGAAATTCTTAATCCCAATTCATTCCCCTTATGATTATAGATGTAAAGTGTTGGTGCCATTTTTATCCGTCTTCCCACCTCAGTAGTCTTTCCTCACTTGCTTCTATCAGCCTCCGGAGTAACTGCGTTGGACCACAGGGGGCTAAGGCTCTGGCAGATGCTCTGAAGATAAACCGAACTCTAGCTTCTCTAAGGTATGACCCCGCTCCTGTCCCTTGCAGCAGGAAAGGACCCAGAAAACCCTGGCTACAGGGAATACTGTAAAATGGGAGGGGATTAAAAATGGAGGCTTTGGGATGTCAGCAGCTTCAAGTTCCAGATTCTCCCAATTCTGTGTGCTGCTCTAAGTCCCCAGGGTGTCTCAGGACAACGAAAAGCCTGCCTTCCAGAAGATGGCATTTGGAATGGTTTGCTATGTCCCTTTTAGGAGCCTGTGGGTGTGTCTGTCTAGTTGAGGGTATACTACTACCTTGTTTTCTTTTGTTTTTCTACTTATTCAAAGGAAAATTTTGTTGTTAATTGTTTTAAAACAGGGTCTGGCTAGGTAGCCTTGGCTGGCCTGGAGCTTGCTATGTAGGCCAGGCTACAGTTCCACCTGCCTCTGCCTCCCAAGTGATGGAATTAAAGGTGTGCACCAACACACTCAGCACCAGGAGAAGTTTTTGTTTGGTTTAATTTTTCAAGACAGGGTTTCTTTGTATAACCCTGGTTGTCTTGGAACTCACTCTGTAGACCAGGCTGGCCCTGAACTCAGAGATCCACTCTGCCTCTCATTGTACATTCACAATGTTGTGCAACCACTACCTCTGTCTAATTTCAAAATGTTTTTGACTATTAGTATTTGCTTTCTTTTTCTCTAGCAAGTTTAGCCTTTAGCAAGTTTTCTACCTATTTATCGATTCTGGACATTTCATATAAGTGGAGTTATACAATAATTGTGTCTGTCTTCTTCAACTAGCATAATGTTTTCAAGTTCATCAATATTGTAGCATATTGATATTTTCTTGCATTTTACCCATACAGCATCCCACGGATGTTCATGCGCAGACAGACACTCAATGTGTCTTTTTTCACACTTCTATTCAGCTTCTATCTTTTGGCTATTGTGAATAATGCTGCCTGTGACATTTGTGTAGAAGTATTCAAGTACCTGTCTTTAATCCTTTGGGGGAATATACCTAGAAATGAAATTGCTATGCCAAGTCTAAGTTAAGAACTACCAGGCTATTCCACAGAGGCTTGGCCAGTTGACATTCTCATCAGTAGTGTGAGGCTTCCTGTTTTACCACATCTTCACTGCTGTTCGGGTACTGTGGCTCTTGATTGTAGTGGGGACTACTGATGACCTCATTTTAACTGATGTAGTCAGCATGGGCACTTGGTTTCTAGTTGTTGGGCAGCTGCTTAGAGACTCCATACAGGAGGGCTAATGGTCTTTCCTGGGTGCTGGACCTAGAGATGGTCATGTCATCATTGATAAATCGTCTCACAGAAGTCAGTTGCTTCCTGTTTTGGGCCTCTAAGTATCCCCTTGGGTATCCCCACTGCAGTATGAGTCCAGGCCACTACTGGTATCTCTCGTTCTACTGGTAACAGTCCTCCTTGCCTCTGTAGCCTCCAAAACAACGTGATCGAGGACGATGGCGTCCTGTGTGTGGCTGAGGCCCTGATCTCCAACCAGACCATCTCCATGCTACAGTGAGTGGACACAACTCCCGCTGCTTCCTCTCCCTTCTGCTGGCCTCTGCCTTGCTGCTGACAGAGAGAGCAGGAGACAAGCCTGAGGCTTTCTGATCTACCTGCACAGTCTCTGAAAAGCATGATGTTACCTGCTTTTACAGAGAATAAATGTAGCTTTGGCTTTTCAAAACCTACTTTTAATATGGGTTCTTAAATGCTTTAACCTCCCTTCTAACCCATCACCCACCAGAGGTAGTGGAAAAGAAAGGTTATTAGGATATGGGGGAAATGGACCTGTTTAGAAATTGTTCTTTGGAGCAAATCCCAGATGTGTTGTCAGGAAATCGGCAGTTCAGTTTACAAGATTCAGCAGCAGCAGCTTGATCCACTTGCAAATACTTCACCAATATACCAGCAGTCCAGTTCAGTAGTGTCCAGATAGCAAACACGAATCAGCAGCGTTGGCACAGCCTAGCAGAAACAGCCAGACCTTAACGGAATCAGCAGGAGTCAGCAGGAGCAACCATCAGGGATGCCAGGAGTTCTCTGCTGTGCCTCTCTCAACAAAGCAAAGATCAGCGAAGATCAGCGAAGATGGGAGACCAAGAAGCATTGCAAGGCTAGCTGTTCGAGCCCCTGTCACAGCTGAGCCTTATTGAAACTCCCTCCGAACGTCATGTGTCCTCCACGGGTCTTGCCTCAACATGGGTCTTGCCTCAGAATGAGAGTCTGTCTTAGCAAAACTCCACTTGAGTCTGTATCAGCTAACATCACTCTGCCAATTGGCCAGAGTCCACAGAAGCAGCAAGAAGCTGCCAGAACACCACCAGAAGTTTTTAAATGCATGTCTCCCTATGGAGTCACTTACAAATGGAGCTCAACTAAGCAATATAAGGTGGACCAAACACGTGTCGTTAGTGAAGAGTCCTCCATCACGTTCTCCTTCCACATGCTTGCCCCAGCAAAACACCATCCAACACAACTGACTTTCCAAAGAAACCATAAGTTTCCACTTCAAATAGGTATGAAGAATTACTGAAAATTAAAATTAAAACAAACAAACTCAGATCCCAGGCGGCAGCTCTGTACCCAACCTCACAAAACCCAGAGGAAAAGGGCCTCCCAGGAGCTTTAACTCGGGCAGTATCTCAGATAAAAATGAATCACCCGTGATGTCTGCTGTTAGAAGTTCTAATCCAGATGCTGGCCTCCAAACTTATACTACTCAGACCTTCGACAGGCCATTGACAAGAACATCAAACAGCTAGAGATCGACATCACTAATCTGAAGAAATTCCTCGTTTTGCTGTCTGAAGAGCCCTCCAAAAATTGCAAAGGACTTTATTGGACTTGATTTACAATAGAAAAAGCTGTGTACAGCTCTTGACTGTGTACAGCCCTTAAAGAAGAATGTTGCCTTTTCATAGACAAGACAGGGATGGTTAAAGAGAGCATGAAAAAGGTCAGAGAAAGCCCTGAGGAAAGACAGAGAGAGAAAGAGAAAGATGAGTGCTGGTACAAGAATTGGTTTTCAGCCTGTCCATGGTTGTCAACCCTACTTCCTCCCATCTTGAGACCATTAATGGGGTTATTTTTGCTTATTTCTTTTGGTCCCTGGGTGTTAAGTAGACTGACTAACTTTGTGAAACAACAGATAGATAATTTGGTAGCAAAACCTATTCAGATACATTATCATAAGTTAGCTATGAAGGACCATGAGACTCAAGATGAGGTTGTTACTCTATTCAGGGTGTTCCCAAAACCCATCTCCACCCAACCTAAAAGAGGGGACTTCCGCCCCTAGACTGATCAGAGAGGGGCCACCCAGAACTCCCTCTAACTGGCAATCTGAATTCTCGCTTAAGCTGCGAGGCTAAGCACTGCAAGGGAATATAAATAAAAGTTAAAAATATCTCTCTGGGTTCCCTGAGGGACAAGCCTGACTGCATAGGGGTTGATGTCAAAAGTATCCCCTCTCCAGGAAAAAGACATGGGGACGGGTATGGCCCTCATGCCTCACTGGACAACGACAGGGGGACCAGAGCCATTACAAGGTCCCCTTCAATTACTGGAGGTCAGGCCTCTATCCCCGCCTTCGAAAGTTTAGAATTGCCACAGCCCTTCTATACTTAGAGAAGGGAGGAGATGTCAGGGGTAGCCCTGCTTATACACTGAAGGCCTAAAATCAGCCATAGGCCTAAAATCAGCAATAGGCCTGTCATACATGTATACTAACACCAAGTCTTGGGTCTCAGTGGAAAAACATTGAAACAGTTGGCTATAAGCTACTGTAAACAGGCAGCTTTTGTGGAAATTTACCAGCCTGAGTAGTCATAGACCTTGTAAATAGGTAGCCTTGGCAGACAATACCAACTTAGATAAGGACAAGTGAATCACAGGCAGAGTCATAGTGACCTGTCCCCTGAACCTTCACCCAGCTGATCCCTGTTCTGAAAGATATCTGAATTCCCCCTGAACACCCACGCTCCGGTGTCATCCCCTTCCCCACATCCTGCCTTTTTGTGTTTATAACCCCTGTGTAAATAAGTAAAAATTACGATTTGAAAAAAAAAACACAACTCCTGCCAACCTAGAAAATTGTCTCCACAGATGTAGAAAAGAACACTGTACTCCTTTATTGAAAAGGTACTAACATAAAATGTAATGTAAAAGCAACATCATGGAGAACTACCAGTGAGGTTGCAAAGACAGAGCTCCTGCCCTCCTATCAGCCCAGCAGAGGTGACCCCTTCCACGACTGCTCTCAAGGTCAATGGCAACTTGTCTTCCAGTGTGAAGACCTGGCAGCTCCACTTTCAGCAACTTATCCTATGCTCAGCAGATGCTCAGAGGCTATGTGCTCCTTAATTGCTTTTGCCTCTAGAACAAAGTTGTTCCTACCTTTATGGTGATCGTGTGCTTCGCCACATGGAGCCAGGTGCCTGGCTCATTCTCACAGTAGCAGCGAAAGAGGGACACTGTCTTGTTTGATGTTTATCTTGGAAAGGGAGGCCCCAAGACTCTTACAAAGACCCCAGGAAGCCAGGCATGGTGACGGACAACTTTAATCCCAGCACCCAGGAGGCACAGGCCAGCGGATCTTTCTGAGTTCAAGGCCAGCCTAGGCTACATAGAGAGACCCTGTCTCAGAGAACAAAACAAAGACCCCCCCAAAAAAACACTCCTGGACTGTGAAGCCAGAGGAGGCTGACTGAGTTTGTAAGGAGACAGCACATCTTAAAGGGACAGAGTGAGGATTTACCATCTATAGTTTCAAGAAAATATTCTAGAAAAGGAAGATTTTTTTTTCTTTAAGAAAAGATGTGTGGACATGTACAGTGCAGGTACATTATTTTTTGTTTTATTTGTTTAATGTGTGTATGCATGGGCATATGCATGCACATGCCATGACAGAAGTATAGAGGTTAGAGGACAACTTGGGGAGTCAGTTTTCTCTTCCCAGTTGTGCATCCTAGAGATTGAACTTAGTTCTCCAGCCTTGGTGGCAAGCACCTTCCCATGCTCAGCCATCTCATGGGCCCCTGTCTCTCTCCGTTGTATGGAGGGTGCTCTAACTTTACACAGGAGAGGTCCTTCCCCTTCTGTCCAGACCTCTTTCAAGGGAAGTTTCTCGAGGTGGAAGGCAGATGGGACCCAGATGGGAAATATACCTTGCTAACTGGCAGATGTGTGCATGGAAGTCTGTAATACAAGGGGCTGTCGAGCACTCTCAACCTCTTGCTCCCAGCTGCACTTTCCCCTTAACTCTGTCAGCCAGACCCTTTGTGCACACTGAGTGTAAATGGAGATGGTCCCCTATTTGTCCTTGATCTCGAGGCTACAACCCAGACTGGCTTTGGCCTGGGTGTGACTGTGGCTGGCTTGGCTTATGGACCTGTCTCATTTCTTACAGGCTACAGCAAAACCTCATTGGGCACATAGGAGCCCAGCAGATGGCAGATGCCCTGAAGCGGAACAGGAGTCTGAAAGAACTCATGTGAGAAAGGCCAAAAGGCCACATTGGTATTCTCAGTGTCAAGCAGAAGGCCAGCCCTCCCTACATACTTGTAGGCTGGGATGGATGATGGAATGGATGGATGAACGGAAGGATGAGATACGAATGGATGGTAGAGTGGAGGAGTAGATGGGTAGGTAGGTAGGTGGATGACTGATGGCTAACTGGATAGAAAGAGGGATATATGAGGGGTTTAGGGAGACTGGTGGCGGGGGATGTGGTTAGAGGGGTTGGGAGACGGATGGCGGGAGAATGTGGTTAGTTGGGTTAGCTGTACAAAACACTGGATGAGAGAATTAAAGTCCAAACTCCCAGAACTGGATGGGCCTCAAACCTCACAGGCATACTTTCATAACTGCTTCCCTGCTCTCAGAAGGAAACATCATCTCTTGGCCATCTTCACATAAAGTCCCAGATGCTAACCCTTAGTTCTTTCCAAAGAGTTATGATAGGGGTCACCTGCAGCAATTACAGATGAGCATAACTGAGGCCCAACTGCATTGGACACCCTTAAGACAGAGGTAGTCTCCCCTGAGCTCTGACACCTAGGCACAGCCCACCACCTTTTGTCTCTTGTAGGTTTTCCAGTAATACCATTGGGGACAGAGGTGCCATGGCCCTGGCCGAGGCCCTGAAGGTGAACCAGGGCCTAGAGAACCTGGAGTGAGTCTGCCTGGGAACTCTCTGTGGTTGATAATCACCCTTGTCTGAGCCCATTTCCATGAGAGAGCCCTACCAACCTTACCCCTACCACTGTGCTGTTTCTGCCCCTCCATCCACCTTTGTCCTACTCTGCCTATAGCTCCACTTCCCTGCAGTTTTTAGAATGACAAGGTTTACATGCCTTGTCCTAAGTGAGCACCAGTGGCTGAAGAAAAGCTTTGGAAGATGAGGGCGGGGCTGGGTGCATTCTGCTGCCATGTTAGGATATTTTTGCCACTTTACTTTCTCTGGAGTGGAGCTAACATGTTTGCAGCCCCATGTCAAGGCAGTTTAAACCTCAGGGCTTATCTCCCTGAGGAGTTAAGGCAGGCTAAATCTCCCTGCCTTTACCTGGCAGGAGCTAGAAAGTGGCAATGGGAGAGGAGAGAGGAATGAGGAGAGCAGCTCTTAGGTCCCCAGCTCCCTGCTAAACCCATGGGCATGGCTCTAGCTGGGTCAGACGGCTCCCTCCAGGTCCCAGAACAGCCACATCAACAGTACCTTGTCGTGTGCCTGCAGCCTCCAGAGCAATGCCATCAGTAACACGGGAGTGGCGGTGCTGATGGAAGCCCTCTGCAGTAACCATACACTGTCCAGTCTCAAGTAAGCCCTGACCCTCAACCCCACAGCCAGGATGCTGTCCTTTTCACCAGTGGGAATATAAGGCTTCTGGGACTTGGAAAGAAAACTGAAGAAATCTGTAGTTGGTACAGGCGTGGTTCTAGAACATGGCCACCGTCCCTTTTCCTACTTTGTCGGTTGTAGCACTGGTGGGTTGTTCCTGTAAGTACAAGTCCTTCAGGTGCCATTTGCTCCTCTAACTCAGATCCTGTCCTTTTCTTCCCGTGTGTTCTACACTGTTGGTAGTCCTGAGTAGGACACTGATTAGAACCCTGGCTGGCTGGAACAGGTTCCTTCGCATTTCGTCCCAGGAGACCAAGGGCTTGTCTGTAGTTTCTTGGGGTTTGAAAAGTCTAGAGACTTGGGCTTGCTCCGTCAGAAGCCTCACTTACACTATTGAATGCTCAATCTTATGTCTCCTCAGCCTACGAGAAAACTCCATCAGCCCAGAGGGAGCCCAGGCCCTCGCTCAAGCCCTCTGTGCGAACACCTCTCTGAAGCACTTGGAGTACGTGGTAGGGTCTGGAGGGATGGAGGTCAAGGGGAGATGGGCTGCTTCCCTTACTCAGCTCACCATTATGATGGGTTAGACCCTTGACATTGTCACAGTTTATATGATTGGACAAGGGCTTGATTTGGGAAGAGTCAGGAAGGAGACCTGGTATCCACTGGCAACCCTGATAGAACAACTCTCCAGCGTTACCCCTGGAGATGGATAAGCACAGGGGAGAGGACCGTGCCAATAGGCAATAAGCCCTGTTCTTCGTGCTGTGTGTCCTGGTTGCATAACCTGTAACCACACTGAGTAGATTTGGCACACCAGAGTTCTCCATAAGCATGACCCACACAAACTCAGTATCAGTGCTGACAGTGTGTTTTGGGGAAGAGGGGGAACTGGATCCCCTAGTGACCAGGATGGGGGGTTCACGGTAGCTCCTCACTAGGGAAGAGGGGGGACTGGATCCCCTAGTGACCAGGATGGGGGGTTCATGGTAGCTCTCATCAGCTCTTGTTCCCCTTTTGGCAGCCTGACAGCTAATCTCCTCCATGACCAAGGTGCCCAGGCCATTGCAGTAGCAGTGGGAGAAAACCACTCTCTGACACACCTTCAGTAAGTCTACCCCTCCCCAGTCTCCATTCTCCTCAGCTGTAGGGCTACTCACAAACCAAGTATGGTAGATGGAACCTGGATTTGGCACAGGTATTCCTATCCTGGATTTGGATTCCTGAGGTTATCCTCAGATAGACCTAGATTATGAGGCAAGTGTCATGGCTGTGACTCATGGTGACCTATGTTTCATGAAGAATATCTGAGCTTGTTCCCGTGGCTACACTGGCCCTCTGGCCTGAAGGGAACTTCAGGAATCCTCCTGCCATATATCCTACATAGACTCCCCCAGCCACTGCACCCTCCTGGATCCCTCAGAGCCTCTCTAGTCTTTTCCTGTGCCATGTGGTCATGGGTCTGTATCTTTCCAGCCTGCAGTGGAACTTCATTCAGGTTGGTGCAGCCAGGGCCCTGGGACAAGCACTCCAGCTGAACAGGACCCTGACAACCTTAGAGTAAGTGTGGCCTATGGGACTGAGGGGCAGTCTCCAGGCACAGGGCTTGTTTGAGGATTTTTAAAAATAGTCTCCTCCACCATAAGACCATAGACTTGTTTCTTTCAGTCCTTACCTGGAGGAAGAAGGGGGGGGGGAGGAGAGAGAGAGAGAGAGAGAGACAGAGACAGAGAGAGACAGAGAGAGACAGAGAGAGACAGAGAGACAGAGAAAAGGCACACAAGCACGCCAGTAGGTGGTGGTTCACCTTTAATCCCAGCACATGGAAGGCAGAGGCAGGTGGATCTGTGAGTTTGAGGCCAGCCTGGTCTACAGAGTGACCAGGACATCTAGGGCTACACAGAGAAACTCTGTCTCACAAAACAAAACAAAAAGTATGTGTGTGTGTGTGTGTGTGTGTGCATGTGCGAGTGTGTGTGTGTGTACGTGTGTGCACTTGCCCTGACGTGTGTGTGGAGGTCAGAAGAGAACTTTCAGGAGCTAGTTCTATCTTACTCTGAGTTAGTTCCTAGACTCAAATTCAGGCCAGCAGAGTTGATGGCAAGCACCTTTACCTGCCGAGCCATCTCGCTAGTCCTTTTAAATAAATCTTTGTATCTGTGTGTGCATAGGTATGTGTGTTAAGTTTGTGAGTGTGGGCATACATAAGCCAGGGTGTGCATGTGGATGTGAGTGGACAACCTCAGCTGTTGGTCCTTGCCTTCAACCTTGAGATAGTCTTTTTCTCCCTTGCTACATATGCCAGGCAGTCTGGCTGTAAGCTTCTGGGGTTGCTCATTTTTCTTCCTGACACATGGCAATGTCCATTTGTCCTGAACTTATTTATGGTCCCAGAATTTGCTTTTTTCTTCCAATTGGAAGTAGGAGAAAAGATGGATAAAGCCTAGCCAGCAAGAACGGCACAGAGCAGGGTGGTGCTGGCGCACGCATGAACGGGACAGAGCAGGGTGGTGCTGGCGCACGCCTTTGATCCCAGCATTTGGGGGTCGGGGGGAGCAGAGGCAGGCAGATCTCTAGATTTGAGGACAACCATGGCTACACAGAAAAACTCTGTCTCAAAAAACACCCCACCCCCTACCCCAAGAGCGGTACAGAGAGAACTTCAGGTTAATCTTCCCGTTGGTTTTGAAAAGCATACCTTTTGTCCTTAAACCTTGTTGATAGCAATATCCATGTCTCCTTTCTTGTCTGCCCTGGACAGTTTGTTCAGATACACACAGACTTCCTAGGTTCCTCTGTGCATTAATTATGAAGCCAAGGGCACAAAAGCTGCCAAACAGGGACAATTATCTAATGTGACTTGATGTGGGTCTGCTGTGTGTAAAGAGACCCAACCCCATAGGCCTTGGCCAATGGGTCACACTGTGTTCAGTTTACAGGAGAATGCCATAGGGGATGAAGGAGCTTCCTCAGTGGCTGGCGCTCTGAAGGTGAACACAACCCTCACTGCTCTCTAGTAAGTCCTGTGGGTGTGAGAGCTGAGTAGATCCCCCTTCACCAAGTAGATCCCCCTTCACCAAGTAGATCCCCCTTCACCAAGTAGATCGCTCCTTCACCAAGTAGATTACCCCTTTGTCACCCCCTTATGCCACAACCATCTTTGTTTATCAGTCTGGGAAAGTTGTTTGGCTTTCCTAATATTAGTGATTGGTAGTCAAACGTAGGAAGGATTGCAGGTACAGACAGCATCCACCCCAAGCCCGTCCAGAAGACTCCCCTGTCTCCCATCCACACCTACACCGTCTTCTCAGGTGTCAGAATAGCGGTGGAGAGGCAGTGTTCTTGGAAGGATCACAGGAAAACAATCCTTAGTGCCATTTCCCAACACTTAGCCCTGACTAAGGGGAGGGAGGCCTGGCGCAGGGCAGGGAGGGGCTAGGAACGCAGGAGGCCCGCTTCCCTGTACTGACTGCACCCCCTTTATATATAGCCTACAGGTGGCTTCCATTGGTAGCCAAGGGGCCCAGGCACTTGGGGAGGCCCTAGCTGTGAACAGAACTTTGGAGATTCTTGAGTGAGTATTCCTGGCGCTGTTGAGAGATGTTTGCTGAAAAACAAACAAACAAACAACAAAACAAAAACCCGAAGCTACAGATTCAAAAGGAATAAACATGAAGCCAGACATCTACACACACACTCAGATAATTTTGATGGTTGTTTGGGTTATTTGCTCTATTTTCTCCATTCCCACTATGTATTTCCCACTATGGCTTTATGCCCTGGGTTGGGCCTGTCCCAGGCAAACAGGTCCAAAGGCTCTATTTAGTGGTATCCCCCGACCCCCACCACCTAGGAACCAGTAGCCAACTCCTGGTGTGGGTGGGGTTGTCTGCATGCCCATGTCACCTCTGCTCTCCAGGATCCTTTAACTACTGTGCACTGTGTACCTCTGGGTGGAGAGTTACTGCTCCTATCTCGGCCTAGGTTTTCCTTCTCTGGAGTAGAAAAAAAGACAGGCTTCCATTAAGTGCTTAGGAAGAAGCCACCCCCCAATTGCTGTGAATGGTCATATTCAGATAATCCCATACCCGTCTGGAGGGACATCAGTACCACCCCACAACCTATCCCTGCACCTCAGGCTTCTCACTTGTCCTGACAGCTTACGAGGAAACGACGTTGGGGTAGCTGGCGCCAAGGCCTTGGCAAACGCTCTGAAGTTAAACTCTAGTCTTAGAAGACTCAAGTAAGTGATCATGTGACCCACACGCACGCCTAAGCAGCAGTGTTCTGACCATTACTGATCGCATCCACCGAAGGTAGCTTTGATCATTCTCCTTATATAATTTACTTATAATTTACTTAAAATACAAACTTATGGTCTTGGGTAGAGTACCTGGCTACAGTTTAGGGATCAAATGTCAATCTAGCAGTTGCTATGGCACCTGTGGACAATCAACCTCAGAACTGCTCATGCCATCCTTGTCTCAACAAGGCTGTGTCGCCTCTTTATGTCTTTTCTGGCGCATCATGGTTCTCCATCTCTTCTCTGTCTAGTCTCCAAGAGAACTCAGTGGGGATGGACGGGGCCATATATGTCGCCGCTGCTCTGTCTGAGAACCACGGTCTGCAGCATATTAAGTGAGTAGACTCGGTAGCACCATCTTTTCCAGAGACTTTTGCTGAGCCCCCAAAACTGCTCCCAGGTCCGGATCTGCCTTTTAGCTCAGTTCTGGGAATGAGGTGATCTGAAGACACTCTGACAACTCCATGGGGAGACTAGGTATAAGAAGGAACATGCCAGAGTAGTGTGTGTAGGAGGGATCCCAGAAGGGCAAAGAAAGGCTCAGTAGGGTCCAGAATTCATTATAGTGACAATCATTCTACTAAGGACAATCTGTAGATGCTGAGGTCTGTCCTAACTCTTCTGTCTTAGTCTCCAGGGAAATCCGATTGGGGAATCCGCTGCCAGGATGATCTCAGAGGCTATCAAGACAAATGGTCCCACATGCACTGTGGAAATGTAAGGAAAGAGTTCCTGGAGGACCACGCAGAAACTCAACTAGGAGCTTCTGATCAGAGGACCTCTGGTCTCTGCAAATCTTCCTGGAATCAGAAATGTTGCTGGGCTAGCTCTCAAGCTGGTCTCCTCAATAGAGGAAGGGAGGGTACTTCAGCAGAGTTCACAGGCACCTTTCCTGCCCAGGGTCAGTCAGAGGAAAGATGGCTACTGTTATGGGACAGAGAAGGAAAGGGTCTGGCACCAAGGGACACACAGGGCAATGTCTCAAAGCTCCACAAAGTAGGAGGCTGATCCTGGCTTACTCATCCCCAGGGTCTTCACATGCCCCAACTTAAAAGAACCAAAGAAAGCAAAACAATGACAGCATTCCTGCCCTGAACACTCACACGGCTGGCACCATCGGTCTCTGCAGTGTAGTGTTCCTGCCCCGCACACTCACACGGCTGGCGCCATCGGTCTCTGCAGTGTAGTCTCTGCAGTGTAGTGTTCCTGCCCCACACACTCACACGGCTGGCATCATCGGTCTCTGCAGTGTAGTCTCTGCAGTGTAATGTTCCTGCCCTGCACACTCACACGGCTGGTACATCTCTGCAGTCTTCAAGTCCACTAAGCACATTAGCTTGCCAAAGGTGACAATGGGTCCATTTTTTTCTTTTCTCAAGAGAAGAAGAAAGTTTGGGGGTGTAACCCTTAGATACGTATGGAGAAAATATGAGAAATCTGGGAAGATAATGAGAGGTTAATGCTAAGATTCTGGAGTGAGAGTTAAGTCCCAAAGGCACTCTTCTGTACGACCTCAGACATCAACCATGCCCTGCCATAGACGGAGTCCAGTACACTGGTTATCCATTGAGAAGTAAGTGTTGATACCTTGATGCCATTATCCTGAATTTAAGCTTTCAGACCCTCTGCAGTGGCTGTAGCTTCCCCATGGAGACACATAAGCTATGTTTCCCTGTGGCCAGTTCCTTCCATTGTCTAATGGAAACAGGAAAACCTACATGAACTTCACAGGTCTCAACTGAGGCAACGAGGGAAATGTTTATCAAAACCACAGAGTAAGTCCAAGCGTGGTGGTGCAGGCCTTTAATCTCAGCACTTGGGAGGCAGAGGCAGAGGAACCTATGAGTTTAAGGCCAGCCTGGTCTACAAAGTAAATTCCAGGATGGCCAAAACTACATAGTGAGACCCTGTCTTAAAAAAAAAAAAAAAAGAGTATCCAGAAGCCAGACCTGTAGCACACACTTGTGTGCTTGACAGGACAAGAAAGGAGAATCATAGGTTTGAGGCCAGATTAAATTACACAGTGAGTTTCAAAACAAAAACATAGACCTTGAGTATTCAGAAGAGTTATCATGGCAGTGGGAGGTGGTACTGTTTATGTAGGAAAAGAGGCAACAAAGGAAGCAACTCTGTAAATGTAGCCTTGACAAACGATTAGACGTAAGCCAGGAATAGCCTGTAATTCCAGCACTTGGTGGAGCAGGAGGATCAGGATTTGGGGGCTGCCTTTGGATACACAGTGAATTCAAGACCAGTTTGTGCTTCATGAAATCCCATCTCAAGAAAACAAAGGAGAACGAGCGACTAAGTTGGGACAAGTGAACATCACGTGTGACTGTGGGACGCAGTGCTGATGGAGTAGTTCTGCCAAAAACGTTTACCTAAGCCTAACTGTAGTGGTATAGCTACCTCAAATCCAAATGCAAGGACTGGCTATAATCCAAATCCAGTGCAGGCCTGGTTGCAGAAAGATGTTACAGCAGGTTTTGAAGGGTATTGTTTCTGGGTATAGAATGCTATCTTTCTTTTGGTACTTTTATGATGTTGCTCTCCGACTGGGGCTCCATCCAGCTCAGTGAAGGTGGTCCTGGGTTCCTTCTTCTGCACTGCCAGCAGCAGCAGCAGCAACCACCACCTGCTGCTTTATTCTTCTGGCTTGTCTTGTTTCTGGCTGAAGCTTTCAGGACAGCAGTCAGTCAGCAAACAAATGTTGGGAAAGCTGTATCCCACAGAAGCCTAGTACATGGGTCTGAGAGCCAAACATTATAAGGAAAAAGGGTGCACTCCAAAGATCCTGAGAGCAAGCCCACCAGACCTAGAAGGCCCCCCTTTCCAGAAAGTTTGTCCAGAGTCCACTGTTGAGGCTTCCCAGCTGTCTAGCTCGCAAGGTCTAGCTGCTTCACCACAAGCAAGCCCAGTTGTAGAGTCTGGAACTGAGATAAACTAACTGGAACAGTGGTTTGGCTTTTTTTCCTATTCGGTTTTTTGTTTGTTTGATTTAATTTTGGACAGTTTCTGTTGCTGTCTTCTGCAATTTCTCTACAACACATCCTCTGCTGTTAAGTGCATCTTGCTACTTTCCTTCTCAGACATTTTTAAATCTGCCGTGATGGTGCTTGGCTTTAGCTCCCCCAACTTGAATGCTTCCATCTATGCCACACCACACAACAGCGGTTGTCATTCACTCTGGTCTCTGTTGTGGTCCTTGGTAGCCTTGTGGGTAATCCTCTATGAAAATTTCCTCCTCCTCTTCCTTCCTGCTTCTCTCTCCTTTGCTTCCTTCTTCCCTGTCTTCTCCCTCCCCACTCTGGTTTTACTAGAACTCCAGGAGAGTACAGAGATAAGTGTGTTCTGTCCACAGGTCTATCTGCAGCTCTCCCATGATTGTGCATTTGTCAGTCAAGACTAGACATACATACATGTGTCAGTATATTTCCAAAGTGTCCCCGACACTTGCTAATTGTACCTCCTGACTGGCCGTATGTCTCAGTTAACAAATACCTAACTAGGATGCCTCACCTCTGAGAACTTTTCAATATAACTATCCCATAATGAGTAGTCTCCAAAGCCTTTTATCCTCCCCACATCCTTTTAGACACTTTATAACACTAAGCCTTGGCTGGCCCAGAGCTTTCTATGTAGAACAAACTGGCTTTGAGCTCACAGAGATCCGCCTGCCCTGTCTTCAGAGTGCAGGGTTAAAGGCATGTGGTATCATGCTCAGCCCACAGTAATCTTTTCTTTCCCTTCCTTCCTTCCTTCCTTCCTTCCTTCCTTCCTTCCTTCCTTCCTTCCTTCCTTCCTTCTTTTCTTCTTTCTTTCTGTGGGGGTTTGAATATGTGTGCCCCAAGGAGTGGCACTATTAGAAGGCGTGGCCTTGTTGGAGTAGATGTGTCACTGTGGGGGTGGGCTTTCAGACCCTCTTCCTAGCTACCTGAAAACAGTCTCCTTCGGCTGTCTTTAGATGAAGATGTAGAACTCTCAGCTCCTTCTCCAGCAGCATGCCTGTCTGCACACTGCCACCTTCCTGGTGTGACCGAGCCTCTGAAACTGTAAGCCTGCCCCAGTAAAGACTTCACCTTTATCAGAGCTGCCTTGGTGTTTCCACACAGCAATACCCCTAACTTAGACTGATTTCTTTTTTTCCTTTTAATTAATTAATTATTTATTTATTTTGGTTTTTTTTTTGTTTTGTTTTTTGAGACAGGGTTTCTCTGTGTAGCTCTGACTGTCCTGGCACTCACTCTGCAGACCAGGCTGGCCTTGAACTCAGAAATCCACCTGCCTCTGCCTCCCAAGTGCTGGGATTAAAGGCGTGTGCCACCACCGCCCGGCTAGACTTATTTTCTTTCTTTCCTTTTCTCTTTCCTTCTTCCTTTCCCTTCCCTTTCTCAAGGCAGTTTTTTTGTGTAGCCCTAGCCTTCCTGGGACATGATATGTAGACCAAGCTGGCCCTGAACTCAGAGATCTGCCTGCCTCTGCCTCCTAGTGCTGGGATTAAAGGCGTGAACCATTGCCACCTAGGCTAAGTGATTTTCTTTTTTTTTAAACCCATCTCTGGAAGTTGCCATTACTGAGCAAAACCCAGCTAATTCCTTAGCAAAACATAGGAAGTTCATTTTGCTGTTCCCCTATACATACCAAGCATTTCAGCCCATGTGTCTGTCATTTCAGACTTGGGATACCTCTATGCTCCTGTAGTTCTGTCCTACCTGGTCTTTAACTGTGTGCACATGTGTATCTATGTGAGGGTACGTGCTTGTGAGTACAGCTGTCCCAGGAAGCTACAAGAATGTATGGGATGACCTGGTGAACTGGAGCTAACAGGTGGCTGTGGGTCACTGGGCGTGGTGAGTGCTGAGCCTAGCTTCTGGAAAAGCAGCAAGCTTTCTCAGCCTCTGAGCCATCTCTCCATATCCAGTGTTTTGTTTTTCTCAGGCTTAAAACCACTCTCTGAGCCTTTCATACACGTTTACAATGAACTATAATCACATACACTGCCTTCCCTTTCTGCTCTCCTCCCAAAACATACTCCTTAATTTCATGTTTCTTTTGTTTGATAATCCACTAAGTCCATAAGTCCATGCAGAAGGGGTTACTCACTGGGGCATGGGAAACATACCAGTGGGAACACCCTAAAAAAAAAAAAAGGAAAATGATTCTCTGTCATGGAGCAGCTATTAACTGCCAATAGCTCCTCAGTACAGCGGGGCCTAGAGATCCTCGATCTATGTGAGGTTTTGGGCTGGCTTGATCTTACGTGGATTGTATGTGATGGAGTCTTACTTGTCCAGTTCAGGGATGAGTTACAGATCATGGTAGAGCTTGAGGCTCTAGGTTCCATCCCCACTACTACAAAGCATAGACAACCAGACAGCAAAAATCCCCCAGAAGACCCAGTCCAGTCTGACTTCACACACACCTTTTCCAAGCAGAGAAGGCTTGCTGCTCCTTACTCTGGGTTCCGAAGCCTCTCGCACCCCAGACACTGTATGCACCTTGCATGCAGATGCTAAGACTCATTCATTTCAGAACTAATGTAAGCATGACAGCCGAGAACCATAACTGCTTAGTACATACTTAGTGAAAAGAAATCTGTACAGGAAATGTACCTATGGCAAAATGATTCCATGGTCATGGCCAAATAGGCACCATGGACCAATGCACTGGGTTCCAAAACCACCTTTTATTAATTACTGAGCCTGGGTCTTTATCCTCCTGGCCTACCGAGTGGCTGCAACTGTGTCACCACAACAGGACTGCACTGTCTACATTACAGCCACTCTGTCACTCCCACACATCCACAGCACGTAGATATGGCATTGCTGACACACGGTCAGGGTCCCTGCTCAACAGTGAGTTCCAAACCAGCTGGAGACTTGGTCTCAGAAAATAGGAATTTAGGGACAAAGCCAGAAAGATCTTGATCACACCAGAATGTGGACCTCTCCCATCTATCAAGCCTCTAATATGGCAGCTGTACCCCTCCCCCAAAATAGACTGGAAGAGATTTTATGTTTTCTTCTTGTCTCAAGAGGACAGTCTTCGTGATTTTCACTGTTATCCTTTTGGGTTTGTTTTCCATTTATGTATGTCCCATGTCTCACATGTGCCCACAGGAGTCAGGAAAGGGCATCACACGCTCTGGAGCTGGAGTTGTGAACTTTAGTTTTCTACATAACAACAAGCACGTTTAACTGAGCCACCGCTCCAGTCCTGTGACTTTCTAAGAGCAGCATCTAGCCAGGGTGACCGTGTGCCCAGTGTGCAGAGGGCAGAGACAGGACGTTTAAGTCAAGCTGCTCTTCAGGGCGAGTTCATGGCAGAGGCAGGTGGATCTCTTCAAGTTCAAGGCCAACTTGGTCTATATAGTGAGTTCTAGGACAACCAGGGCTACACAATGAGACTGCCTCAAAAGACAAACGAAAATGCTTGACGACGACACATGCTAGTTTATGTATGTAACAGGTGCAAGTCAAAAATAATGCTTTTGAGTAAACTTTGATTATATAAAAATACAGTGTTGAATACATTTTTAAATTGCATCTATTTGTGTGTGGGTGCGACCATGCCCACGCTGATGTCAGAGGACAACCAGTGGGAGTGGGTTCCTTCTTCCTACCGTGGGAGCTCTGTGGGTTGAACTCTGTTTACTGGCGAGCTCCTTTCCCACTGAGCCATCTAACATCTTACTTACATTTTGTACATTTTACGGAGTGGTAAGTAGCTTTTGAAATCTTCAGACTATAAACTAAATGAAAAATAATCCGACACTTTTCTTCCATGTGTGCTGTATTCATGGACCTAGGGAGATGGCTCAGTGGGTATGGCCACTTTCTACACAAGCGTGAGAACCTAAGTTTGGATGCCAGAACCTACATTAAAAAAAAGGTGGAGTGACAAAGTGGGATGCTTCACACCTTTAATCACAGCAGTCTAGAGGCAGAGGGATGCACAGCTCTGGTAGTTCAAAGCCAGCCTGACCTGCATAGCAAGTTCCAAATCAACCAGGGGTACACAGTGAGACCCCGACTCAAAAACAAAACAATAACAAACAGCAAAAATATGGGTGTGGCTACACATACCTGTAACCCCAGCACTGTGTACCAACAAGAGCTTGTTGGCTAGCCAGTCTAGCTGAAAAACAGCAAGCTTCAGTTCAGGGAGTGACTGTCTCAAGGACTAAGGCAGAAAGTAATCAGGAAGACACCTGATGCCCTCCTCTGGCTTCTGCATGCACGGGCATGGGCATATACCAACAAGGTAGAGGCAGATGGACCTCTGCAAGTTCAAGGCCAGCCTGGTTTGCATGGGAGTTCTAAGATAGCCATGGTTACATAGTGAGACCCTATCTCAAAAATTAAACAAAATAAGAAAAGCCAGTTGGGCTGAGGATACAATTCAGCTGACACAGTCCGCCATGCAAGCACGAGGATCTGAGTGCAGTCTCCAAACCCTCCCCAAACCCTTGTAATCCCTGCGAAGTGGGAGATAAGGCTGGAGCAGATTGTCTAGGCAGTCTAGGATAATCGAGCTCCCAGGTCCCTGTAAAAGACCCATCCCTACACTCTGCAAAAGGTGGACAGTTTCTGAGGAACAAGCACTGAGGCTGTTGTCTACTGCACAAGATAAGGCGAGAGCCTGTGATTGGGCAGTGGATGAGAAGATGGGCTGAGATGTGGGTCCCTGTTCCAGAGGGTGTCCCACAACAATCTCCAGCCCGGCTGGGGACAGGGTGCGAGCAGGGAGGGTCCACTACTGCCTCCGTTGCTGCCTCTGCCCATGTCTCTGCTGTCCGTCGCTCTCCGGCCCAGCCTGGTGTGGCAGGTCCGGGCCAAGGGGACAGAGTGCAAGCTGGGAGGGGGAACCGATTCTACTGCTGTCTCCGCTGCTGCCTCTGCCTTCGTCTCAGCTGTCACTGCCCGGTTACTCTCAGGTGCTGCACTCGTCTCTCTGCGCTGAGTCGGTCCAGGCTGTGAGGCTAGCTAGCAGGGAAGGGAGGGTCCTGAAGGCTCTTCCCAAGTGTTACAGCTCTAGTGTTACAGCTCTTTCGACAGAAACTCTTGGACAACAGGATGATTCTTGCACACCTTTACTTCTCCTGAATAGGGACCTCATATACAGTTTTGGGGTGGGCTAGGGTCTGGCAGCAGATAACCCCTATTGGCTTGGTCTGAGAGCTTGGAGATGCCTCATCTACACGTGGGAGAGCCTGAGCCACTATTCCTCATGACTGATGGCCATAGACCTCTCTGTGGGAAGGGCTGTGGGGAGCTGAGACTGAGTGAAAGGAGCCAGGAGCCAGGAGTGATGCCGAACGCCTTCTGTCCCATTAGGGTCTGGGGTTCGAGGCCTGTGCTCAAACAGGTGCCCAGCTGCTTCTCACAGCCCACCGCTCCACACTGAGAGTTCTAGAGATGAGAGAGGGAGACGCAAGGGAAGGAAGATGGAGGAAGAGAAAGATGGTCCAGATTCCACGTGGCTTTAAACAGCCATGAGTAGCTATGAATATCATATAAGGGATGGGTAATTACAGGACAATTTGTCCAGTCTAGGTAAGCAATCTTATCAATATCAACTGACTGAGTCTATTGTGTGGATGTTTTGTGGGGTGAGAAGATACTGACAAGAATCTGACTGATAAATCACAAGCCTCTAGAGTTTTGACTTTATGGGGATACAGGGATTTTCGGGTGTATGGCTGGGAATTCGAGCAGGATCCGCAGCAAGAGAACAAGTCAGGTGGCCACCTCATAAGGCCCATGGAGACCCTGGTGGCAGGGAAATCAGATTACTAGAAGAACATAGACAGTGCTAGTGTGGGTGCCTTTGTTTATATTTCATGCAACAGGTTGTTCTCTGGCCTTCACACATACATGTACACACATGAATGCCTACCAGCACAAACATGTGTACCTGCTCCCATTAGAACATGTGCACATATAACACACACACATACACACACACACATAGGCACGCACGCACACACAGATGCCTGTAAGCAGGAGTAGGTAACAGTAGAAGTTGGAGCTGCACTTGTTGAGGAAGCCAGGCTGGGGAACTGGGAGGGTAGCATGAATCTGCCTCCAGAAGAACATTTGTCCTCTGAGAGAAAACAAAACATTCATAATCTGGAGCTCTCTGTGGTGTGATCATCAAGGAAAACTAATTTAAAAATAACAGCAGCAGCTGGGCGGTGGTGGCACATGCCTTTAATCCCAGCACTTGGGAGGCAGAGGCAGGCAGATTTCTGAGTTCGAGGCCAGCCTGGTCTACAGAGTGAGTTCCAGGACAGCCAGGGCTATACAGAGAAACCCTGTCTCGAAAAACAAAAACAAACAAACAAATAATAACAGCAGCCAAGACTTATATGGTGTCAGTCTGTATTTCTCCCCAAGGGGTAGATTTGAATGACTTAGAACACAGGTATGGGGATTCCAAGTGTTAGGAGATAGACAAAGAAAATCTTTGTGGGGTTTCAGCACAGTTAAGCCCAGATGGTGTAGTGAACAAAACACATGTTACCTTTCCAGTCAGTTGAGTCCCTGTTTACCTATATATCTACCACCTCCTTCAGGCTCTTAATCTGCCTGGGTTCCTTGGCAAGAAGGTCAGAAGTCATTGTCACTCTCATCCAAGGGCTCAGGTTTCCGGACCCTTCGACTGGGTTTAGCTGGTGAGAGAGCAATGCTTTCATCTTCCAAATCGTCATCATCTTCTTCATCATCTTCCATGTCAATTTCACTGTCCTCTGAGTCTTCCTGAAGCAAAGAGATGGCAAATAGAACTAAGTTGGCAGCTCACTCTGATCTTGTCCTTAAGAGACCCCACCTTACCCTCTCAAGAACAATGAGCAGCAATACCTATATAGTGCAGGCTGTGGGAACACAGCACAATGCCAGCTGAGTGAGTCCACTCGACTGGGCTACAACCAGTCACTCTTTACCAGGGTTGTTGAACGGAGCTTGGCTTTCCATGGTTGTCTTGGGAATACCCTTGACACATGCTGAGGAACCTAGATGCTGCATGGCTGCTGCAGTCCAGAGACCCAGTAAACAGGCAGATAGCAAAAAGTGCAGGAGAAAGGGAGGCCTATGCAGGGAGGAGGTGGAAAGCAGTACAAATGTGGGTAAGAGGGCAAGGTAAAGGTGCCCCAGCTCCTCCATGGTCTGGATCCAGAGAGCACAACTGGGGCTGTCATTCTTACAGCAAGTCCTGTGTTCCATGTATATATACCAAGATGGCTGGTCACCCAATCCAGACTATTCCTGAGTAGTCATACGTTAGAATTATCTTCTTTAAAGAGTTACCACCTCCTCCAGCTACCCTGCTCTGCCTGCGTCCTTTCCAGCAGAAATCCTTGAGAAGACCAGACCTAGTGTGGTATAAGCCTACAATTTTAGCATTCCAGAGGCTAAGGCAGGAGGATGACTATGAATTTGAGGCTAGCCTGAGCTACATAGAAAGACCTTGTCTCATAGTGAAAAAAAAGAAAGGATAAACTCCCTGGGTAAACGGCTGTACTCAAGCATCCTCATGTGTCACCCTCCATTGCCTAAGCACAACACCATACCCCACAGCCCAAAGCCACTGTTCTGAAGACTGAAAAGACTCCAACCCAGTGGGGACTCAGCCCTGTTTCTTAAATTCCAAACCTTAATTTCAACTGGCTACTCCACGATACATGTGAATGTCTAATAGGCCACACACACGAGAATGTCTAAAACCAAATTCCTCACCCACTTTCTCAGACCCCTCCTCAACTCATCTCTGTCTCAGGAAGTTAAAGCCCTGTGCTTTTAGCCAGTTACACCATAACCGAAGCAGTCTGCATGTTCTTCTCTGCATCACACTGGTGCAATTAACTAAGAAAACAAGATGGGTCAGACTTTAGAAACGCCCAGGATCTCAGCACTTCTCAACAGTAATGTCCTCACTTCCTCAGGCTACAACGCCCTCACCTCCAGTCTACACAGTTATACTTGCTGCCTGTCTCTCCTGGGCTGACAACCGCAACATCTTGTATCTTATGAGGTGCTCATCAAACCCACACAGGTCCACAGTGCCCTAGCTGCCTCACTCTCTGCCTAGTTCATCCTGCCACTTCCTAGGCACGGGAGGTCTTCACACTCCCTGGGCCTTGTGGCTTTGTCCACCCCAACACGGCTCTCCCTGTCCCTTATTCAGGCCTCTGCTCCAATTTCTATTAGAGAGGCCTTGCCTGAACATGAGAAAAAAAATCCCTTGTCTCTGTCATTTCTCAGCTTCTGAACTGACTTTATTTCTTTCCTAACAACCATGACTGTGGTATGTGTGCTAGACTGTTCCTAGAACATGTGTCCCAAAGGCAAGGACTGTTTGTGTTTCCTGCTGCACTCAGGACCCAACACTGATAAGACTCAAAAGATTCATGCTGAACAAACACATAAAAGCTCTGTGACAGAAAGGCTGTGAGAACACAGCCTCCATGAAATAAACAAATGGGAAGAATTGAGCCATTGAGGATGCATTAATTCTGAAAAGCATGCAAGCAAATAAAACAGAAGCCAGACACACTTTCCAGGAAGCACTGGCTCTTCAGGCTAGATCCTCTGTGTCTCAACCTTGGGTGGACAGGAGTGGATGGTAGCTACTTTATCATGTGCATCCTTGCTGTTAAAAAGAAAGTTATAGCCCAGTGATTTCTCTGCCCCTCTAGTGACCGTCCTAGGAATTCAAGGTACAAGTGTCTCTGTGCCCTGGTAGGCAATACTAGGCACCCTGGCTTGCTCCTGTAAATCTGAGTAATACTGCACTGTGGTTCTTAGTAAGTCAAGTGCCATCCAAGAGCATAAGGTCCTGTTTTGTCCCTGTGAAGGTGCCAGACCCCAGACATAGGCCTGTGCCTTACAAACTGGCCTTGGTGTCTCTCCAGTACCTTTGCCACATGGGCCAAGTAGCATGGCCAGAGACTGTAGCAGAACAGGGCTCAGACAGCCTGGCAGTGCATACCCAGCCTGCCATTTTGAGAACCCAGATTTCCCTTTTTGGTTAAGTTCTCTAGCCATTTATCTATCTGGTGGAGTTCAAGGCACCAGCATCCTGACCTCAGCCTCCTGCCAGGTGTCTCCGAGGCCCTGGTCTAGAAAAATATCTTTTCTGTGTTCCTGCTCCAGAACTGCAGAAGGGTGCTGAAGACAGGCTGGTATTACACCATGGCCCTTGGCATCAACACTTCATTTCTAGGTAATATTTCAGGGCCTAATGACTACACACACCTTTCTCATCTTTGGTCTTGATGTTTGAACCTCTTTAGAATGGTAATGCAAGAGATCACCCTGCCTCTCTCACAGTGGGATCTATTCTGAGGGCTTCCTGCTCAAGAGAGGAAGCATAACTCCAGAGGAGAGGATCTGCTAGCCCTGAGCAGACCAACACACAGCAACAAACAGATGAGGCAAGCAAAAAAAACCAACCTGCTTCCTGGAGCTGGGAGTCCTGCATTTACCTAAGAGGGCTGGTGCTGCTTGCATCTTTGGAAAGTGAGAATGGAAAGAACCGTGAGAAGGCGACAAAGCAAAGAAGGGCGAAGGGTGCACATATTTGTCTGACGCAAGAAACAAGCTCCTGACAAGCGAGGGAGAGCCAGCCCTTCACAGGGCAAACTCCAGCAGTCAAACCATGTGCAGCTCCCTCACTGTGGGCAGCACCTGAGCTAAGCTATGAGCAGAGCCCCAGACCAGGAGGCACAGGAGTGTTGGGAAGGCGATGGACTCACGTCTTCATCGGAGTCTCCACCTTGCATTGTGCCCACGATGCGTTTGTTGGGCCTTCCTGAGAAAACAAACCAAAAAATGATGAGATTCTTGGAAAATTATGGCAAGAAATGGCATTTAAGACTTGCTGTTCTTGGAAAACTGGGGAAATACCAATGTACAGATTAACATATATACTTAAGTGAGCTCCAACTAATTAGAACTGTCAACAAATAGTAGTCATGTTCCTGTATCTCCCTTCCCTCTATTATGAGAGAAAAACTCACTATATAGTTGTGGCTGGCCTTGAACTCTTGATTGTACCTCAGCCTCTAGAGTGATGGGACTGTAGCTGTGAGCCACCATGCTGGAGCTCGGCACTTCTACTTTGAAAGATGAGACAAAGGCAGTTGAATAGTAACGTGCCAGGGTGTGATACACACCTGCAATCTCAGCACTCAGGAGACTGAAGGAGGAGAATCATTGGGAGCTCAAAGCTAGCTTGAGCTCCATAGTGAGAATGTAACAACAACAACAACAACAACAGCAACAAACAAAACAATAAAATTAACATGGGCTGGCAAGACAGCTCAGTAGGTTAGGGTGTTGGCTACCAAGCCTAATTATCTGAGTTCAATCTCCAGAATTTACATGGTAGAAGGAATAAACTGAGTCTCAAAAGTTACCTTGGGACATGTGCCCAAGAGTGCACATGCATGTGTGTACACACATAATATAATAATATAATAATGTGTACACATACACACACATACACACACACACACAAACATTTTCCATGAAGGCTGGAGGTATAGATTAGTGGTGGAAAATTTGTCTATATGCTTAAGTTCATGGATTTAATTTCCAGAACCACAAAACAACCACGAAAAGAATCATGAGTATTTGAAAAACATATCCTCTGCTCCCTCGGCAATGGGCAAGGAGACACTTTGTTGGTGGTGGTGTTCTTATACTAGTCAGGGGCAGAGCAGATAGCAGTCCTTTGTCCATCTAGCTTGATGCCTGGCTTGGTGGCCAAAGCTGTCATGTGCCAAGGACTCATAAAAACCAAATCAAATCCAGGTAGTACAGCATGGGAGGAGGAAGGCCAACCTGTGGACTGCCATGCCACCCACAGACCTGCCCTTCAGTGCATGACACTGGTGGCCATAGACACCTGCTTGCCACCATGCCACACAGCACAGATGGAGGATGTTACCCAGGGGCCCACCAGCCATACGGCCAGCCTGTAGTGGGAGCCATCAACAACGTGCATGTATGTTGGTCAGATGGGAGAGAAAGGGAAGTGGAGCAGCTTGAACATCGTGAAGAGATGGAACTGGAGACTTGGGGTGGAGACTCGGGGTGGAGGGGGAAGCCTGTTATGAGTGGCCATGCTCCCCACCTGGGGCCATGGTGAGGTCCTAGCCCAAGCTGCCACTGAGGGCCATGTCAGAGTCCACGGCTACACAGGGAAGGGGACGTGTTGGTGTCTGTGGCTCACATTACCACTAGAGAACATGGGGATGACTCTGGTCAGAGCAGCTGCTGGAGACCATGTGATGTCCTGGGGCTGAGCATAACTGGCCTGCCTCTCACTGAATGCAGCACCCTGAAGAGGATCTCCAACTCTCACCAGAAGCAGCACTGGGAGAGGTGGGCTGCACGTTACCCAGGCAGCACAGTGGAGCTGGACCTGGCAGCAGGGGAGTGAGTGAGCCAGCCCCAAGGGCATGAGTGTGGGAGAGCTCATCCTGTCACTCATCTGCCACAGGCACAGAAGTGATACACACCACTCCCCAAAGCTGCCTCCAGGGTCATGAGCTTGGGAGAGCTAGCTCTGGCCCTACCAACCACGACACTCAGGAGATCAGGCCCTGCACTTCTCCTGGACAGCATAGCAGAGCTGACTCTGGTGGCAGGAGTGGGTGAGGGTTATTGAGGGACAGTGCATGTGAGCCAGCCTGGAGGTCGACAACTCAGGAGCGCTGGCCCTGCCACTTTTCTACCATGAAGCAGCATAGGTGCAGGGGTGAAACCTTGCCCCCTTTGCAACTCACCAGGTGTGGCAGTCAGGAGAGCTGGCCCTGCCCCTAGCCAGGTGACGCACTTGGGAAAGTGAGCCCTGCATCTCACCTAAGCAGCAAAGTAGTGCTGGCCCTGGTTGAAGGGCAGTTGGTGAGCAAGTCCCAAGAACAGGGTGAGGGAGAGTTGGCACTGCCACTAGCCCTCTGCCCCTTCCCCCGTTGCCACCTAAGGCGCAGTCAGGAGCGCTGACTCTGGGGTCATGAGAGAGGGTGAGCCGGCCCTGCCCCTTGCTGGCTGCAGCATTCTTGAGAATGGGCCCTGCATCTTGCCTGAGCAATACAGTGGAGCTGGCACTTAAGGTGAAAGCAAACATGAGCCTGCTCTGAGGGTGTGAGAGCTGGCTCAGCCCCTCACAGGCTGCAGCACTTGGGAGAGTGGGCCCTGCACCTTGACTGGGTAGCACAGTAGAGCTGGCTCTGGAGGAGTGGGTGCAGGTGAGCCAGAGCTGGCCCTTGGGGCATGAGAGCAGGAGAGCTGGCCCTGCCTCCTCCTGTTGATGGTGGGGATAAGGGAGAGCCACCAGGTGATCAGCTCAGTTCCCACCCAGGCCCAGCTTTAGGAATCTGAATTGATTCATCCCTAAATCTCTATCATCTGTGAATGGTTGGGATCCATGAAAGGGCCAGTCCTGTTGTTCCAAAGTTGCAGGATCTCCATGACACAGGGCAACGATGGGATAACTGGGAGGAGTTCTGATAGTGATCCAATATTTCGGTGTCACAGAAGTCAGAGATCTCGAACCAGACGAATGACTCGTTGCAATGACTATTTGCAAGAGAAGGTGTGTGGACAGAGGAATATACTATGGGACACGCTACAGCTTCCACTGAGATGTTTCCTATGCATTGTTTTGTTGTGTGTGTGTGTGTTTTATTGGGAGGCATTGCAAGGGTGAAGGAGGGATATGAGGGGACAGGGAGATGAGGGGACTGGGGTACATGATGTGAAACTCATGAAGGATCAATAAAAAACTAAAAAGGAAAAACACATCCTCTCAGGACTTGGGGAGGAAATGTCACTGAACTCCACTGTCAGGTCACATGCAGTAGAACTTCATTGCTATCTGTGGAAAAAGAAAATGTCCCCCTCTTCTGAACCAGTGTCACTTGCACATGGGTCTAGGTGGAAGTTTCAGAATGAAGATGTGACCAGGCTCCTGCTGGCTAGGTCCAGGCAGTGCAGGACGGGTGCTGCTCAGGGCAGGCCCAGAACTGTTTGCAGAAGCCCTTCCCTTGGTTAGACAAGTGCAAAGTCTTATGGCATTTGAAGGCCCTAACCATAGTTTTTGGACTTAAACAGGATTTGAAACAAGCACTGCTCCTCTCAGACTAACACTGAGTAAGTTACGCAGCTTTTTCTAGTGGTGGCTCCCATCCATCAAATGAGATTTGCAAGAGGCACTTATGTATCCCCTTTTCTGTGTTAATTGGCCACAAGGGACGAAACTGCACTGACCAAAACAAATAGCGCAGAGAGCTTCAGCTACAGAGGTCATTTCTGAGGTATCTGTGGGAAATCTGAAGCCACAAATGTGAACCAGCTATTCCCAGGGACACAGGTAAGAATATTACATGTGCAGGGCATGGAGCTGTATCCTGTAATCCCAATGCCTAGGAGGCAGAGGCAGGAGGATCAGGTTCAAGGTTATCTTGAGGTACTTTGTGACTTCAAGACCAGCTTAGCTACACGAAGCACACAAAAGAACTATCAGAGGCAGTGATCTCCCACGAGCAGTTTGAGAGACAGATCCTGAAGAACAGACTGAGACAGGAAGTGCTGCCAGGGGCCCTTCTCAATACACTGTAGCTCTCAATACTGAGCAAACTCACCCAAGTTTGCCCTTGGAGTTCTGAGAGACAGGCACAAGGAGCCGGGCAACAGGAGTTACACTACCTTGCATGAGCACCTCCATCGCTGTCCGAGGCTTAGACATCCGTCTGTCCTCCAGCTCGCTGTCCGATTCATCATCCTCTTGGATGTCTATGTCCGAGTCATCATTGCCTGGCAGAAACACCACAAGGCAGAGTAAAAGGGCAGGCCTTCATTACAGTCTGATGTCTTCTGCCTTCTATGGCTTCAGTGCAAAAGCATCTGCCTTTCTGAGCCCTCTTTTCAGCCATTAGATTTTGTGAGACTCCCTGGATTTGTTCATAAGTACTTAGTGAAGTATTAATGCAGACCATAATATGCTGTATTTGTTTTGAGCAATTTTTCAAAGTAAAAAGAATGTGGACCAGGTGTCTTAAAAGCATTATGACAACCTGAAGTTTTTATGAAATTGAGTAGCTGACTGTCACAAGGTGGAAGTCCTTGGTTAACAGGGGTGGCGGTGGGGGTGGGGGTGGAATCCACTCTGTTCTTTGTCAGGTGGTGTTACTAACTCAAGAGCCTGAGTCTAACAAAGATTGAAGTGAATGAGAAAGCGCGAAGGGAGATGGAGGTCAGGAAGGAGCCAGGCTTGGGCTACAGAGGAAGCTGTCTGAGAAAGTGCTGAAGTGACATCCTTACTGGGGAAAATTCTAGAATAAAAGCATACATTGGTGGGGTTGTGGCTCAGTGGTAAACATGTGCTTACTTATTGTACTGTTTTTTTTTCCAAAGCTCTAGGTCCAATCCCTAACATTATATACACAGACAATGAATACATTTAGGAAATTTGTTTTTTTTTTTAAATAAATTCTATTTATTTATTGGGGGAGGCATTCAGGCATGCACTCTATAAAAGGCTATTTTCAGTGCAATCATTTAAAAAAGTATATTTATTTATTTAAAATATATGAGCACACTGTAGCTGTCTTCAGAAACACCAGAAGAGGACATCAGATCTCATTACAGATAGTTGTGAGCCACCTTGTGGTTGCTAAGAATTGAACTCAGAACCTCTGGAAGAGCAGAGTTAAGTGCAGGGTTAAGTCCTCTTAACCACTGAGCCATCTCTCCAGCCCCCAATCATTTTTTTTTTAATTAAAAAAATCATGTCTCTCCTTTTCTGTTCTTCACCTCTGTGTGTGTATGTGTGTGTGTGTGTGTCTGTGTGTGTGTCTGTGTGTGTATGTGTGTGTGTGATGTGGGTGCTGGAAACTGAACTAGGATGTTCTGGAAGAGCAGCAGTGTTCTTAATCATGGAGTCATCGCTCCAGCCTCCAAATCACTCTACATACATTTCTTAAATACTTGTTCATTGTCTTTGTGCCTGCAAGCTCAACATTCCCTAGACAGAACCAACAGAGACTATAGCGGGAAGATAAAGCCAGTGTCTTACTGTACCCAGGAGTGATGGTTTGGGAAGGAGGGTCTTGGACAGGTTTGCAGTTGCTGGTCTGACACTGACTTAGAAGTCAGCCTAGAAATCCAGCAGTTATTGGTTTTCCAAAAGGCTTTGCTTGGTGCCTACATGTGAAAGTAATGTCAAGGTAACTGGATCTACCTGGCTTTTAAGGGAAGGTAACTTTCTTTCTTTAGCCAAAAGAAAAGCTGTGTTCTTCAGCTCAGGAGGAAAGCTTGGGCACTGGCAACAGTCACTAAGAACATCCTCCAAGACTACCAACACAATTTGAAAACTCTATCTTCTAAAAGCCTTTATATAGAAAATGAATCCATATTAACATAATTTTACACTATAACACAAAATCACCAATCAGATTTGTTTCTCTCCTATTTTATCCATGAAAATTACGGTATTAAATGCTTACTCCACGTAATAGAGGTCACTGCACCACTTGGTCTCTGTCTTGACTGACCTAGCATTAAACCAGCAGGAGCCTGCTTTGCTACAGTCACTGTTAAGATTTTCTAAAGGATTCCCAGCAGTCTCTGCTCTCTTTCTAGAGCAGAGAACAGGTACAACAGGAAACAATACAAAGGGGACAGGCAGATTGGAGAAAAGCTGGATGCCCAGGTGTACTGTTTTGACCACAAGAATAAAGACATGAAAACAGAACTAAGCAAGAGAAGCATGTCAGTGCAACAGAACTGTGGTGTGGCAGGAAGACCACACGCTGCCACAGTTCCTTGTGTGGAACTGTTGCCCTGGTGTCATCCAGGTGAGCAGCGCCGGCTCACCGTGGAGAAGACTCCTCCCAGAGTCTAGGCCTCATGTTTAGTCCATTTTTCTACAGGTGAGGGCCTTGTCGAGCACTCCTGGATGACTGTGTGTGCGATCTGCAAACAGGCAAGTGGCCTTTCACTGACACTGCATGCAACAGTTTTTCAGCTTGCCCTAAAATATGGGACCATTTATACTAGTACGGATAATTTTCTTTCAAAATTATTTATTACATAGAGTTCAAGCTAACTGTAGCATTTAAACAAACACAAATGTCATAAGTATCATAAGAAAGGAATGTTAGCTAGATGCTGTATAATTGGAAGCAAACTTTATTAATATTATTGAAAATAGATTCTTCTCTCATAAACTACATCTCAACCACAGTTTCCCCTCCCTCCACTTTTACTAGCTCCCACCACCTCCCCTCTCCCCCAGATCCATTCCCACTCTGTTTCCTCTTTAGAAAGGAGCAGGCCTCCAAGAGAGGACAGCTGAACAGGACAAAACAAGATATAGTAAAACAAAGCAAAAGCCCTCAGAGTGGGGCTGGACAAGGCAACTCAATAGGAAGCAGAGAGTCTCAAAAGCACAGCCCTGCTCCTACAGTCAGGAGTCCACAGAAACACCAAGCTAATAGCCATAAGACATATGCAGAAGACCTGGTGCAGAGCCACGCAGGCCCCATGCTTGCCATTTCAGTCTCTATGAGAAGCAAGCTGTTTGAGTAAAGTCAAAGGGTACTTAATATAAAAGCTGTGAGAAAACTGCTATCTGAAAATATTCTAGAACTTCTAGTCAATGACAGATTTGTTAGTAAGAGGACAGGTAACATCTATTGTTCTTACCACAATTAAAAATGAGAGAAAAGAGTTTAATTAAAATAAATATGTTTAAAACTGTAAGTAATTCTGCTAGAGAAATGTAAATAACTCATTGTGTACCTGTCATGCAAAGTTGTGGACCTGAGTTTGATCTCAGGAACTCATGTAAACATAGAAGGAGAGGACCAACCAGAAAGTTGTCTTGTGTACCATGGCACACTCATATTGGCACTTGCACGCTTGGCATGTGTGCACATACATGTCCACCAAACACACACATTCTCTCTCTCTCTCTCTCTCTCTCTCTCTCTCTCTCTCTCTCTCTCTCTCTCTCTCTCTCTCTCTCTCAGCTGAAACACTACTCAGCACAGGGCCTTACTTCCACTTTTGAGCAGTCGCTTCTCTTCTTCCTTTAGCTTATTCTGCATCAGACGGAGAGTATTTTCAGCTTCCTGTGGAGGGGAAAAAAAAACAGATTCAAAATAATGAACTTTGGTGGACGATCTGATTCTTCACCACTGTGTGAATACTGAAGTGTTTGTTATATAGTGCAAAAAACCATGACAAAACAAAACAAAACACCTTAGGAAATTGTTTAAGTGGACTGGCAAAATGGCCCAGTGGTTTGGGTCACTGGCTGCTCTTCCAGAGGACCCTGGTTCAATTCCTTGTACCCAGATGGTGGTTCACAACCATCTATACATCACTTCAGGAGATCTGATGGCCAGTTTTAGCCTCTGAGGACATTGCATGCACATGGCATACAGACATACATTCAGGCAAAATATAAGTATACGAAATAGACATGTATAAGTCTTTTTAAAAAAATTAAAAAGAGTTTGCTAGAGCAACCTTTGAGGTCCCTAAACCTGTGCTCTTCCCCTGTTGTCTACCCAGCAGCCTGTGGGAGTGGCCTAGGCATTTGATGCTCTGGGGCCATACCCTCCTCCCACTCCCACACTACTGTAAAGGAAAAGAGGGACACAAGAGAAGGCTAGCATGTGTGCTACAAGGACAGTGGACACAGGAGATGTATCTGGTGCAGATAGCCACAGCTCTCCTGCTCACAAGAAAAGAAAGCAGAAGTGTTTCCGTGTTTCTGCTATACTGCTTCACCACTCCAATGCTAAAGATGTTTACAGACAGGTCAGGATGGTAAGATAAAGGAGGAAATCCTGGTCCCAGTTCCTGGTGAAGGACCAGGAGAAGGTGGTATGTCAGGTGTGTTGGCAGCTGGGCATGGCGGTGTATATCTTATAGTCCCGGCATGTAGAAGGCTGAAGCTAGAGCCTGGTCTGGGGAACACTGTGAGACACTGGCCCCCTCACCCCCTAAAATAACCAGGAAACAGACCTGATTATTGTCAAGAAACCACAGTGAGGATCTGGGGAGGTGGCTCAGGCGTAAAGTGCTTGCTGCTCAACGTGAGCAATAGTTCAGGTCCCTAGAGCCCATGCAGATGCTGAGGACGCAGGAGGCTCTCCTGTCATCTCTGCACGAGTGAGCAGGCCTAGGCTTACTTCAAACCTCTCCTGCTCCATCCTGTGATGGTCCTCAAGCTGCTGCTCCAGGTAAGCCAGGTTCCGAAACTTCTCTAGATAGATGTCATATTGCTTTTGCAACTCTTCCTCGACCTTCTCATACTCATCCATAAAGGCTGGCCTAAAATGAGCAAATGAAATAAAAAGTGAAAGTCAATCAATCTGTGCTAGTTTGAAACTCCCAACTTCCATCATCATAAATTTCTCTCAAATACATCATGAAACCTCTAATTACACAAGGTCCCCACTCTGAAAACTGTTTAAAAGTAATTCACCTTTACCCCTCTCTACCTATCAAAAGAACATAGTTTTGTTGTTGTTGTTTTTTTCCCTTAATATATGTCTTTTATTGTCCCCAACGAGCTCAATCATACTTGTAGTCAGGATCTTGTTCTGGAGCAGGGCACCTTGGATCTTACTTGTCAGCCTGATCCACAGTTCCCTTTTCAGACATATAGATACCATCCCCAAACTTTGTGATATCCCTGTTTTTAAATGTTATGGCTTGCTGAATCAGAGCCAATGAATTTGAAACAAGTTCAATATCATTTCCTTCAAGGATTAATTCATCCTTCCGGGCTTGAGAGACAGAACAAGCAACACTTGTCCTCATCTGAACCTTGTGGATGTATTTTTCACCCAGAAATTTTCAGATTTCCACCAAAGACCCATTCTCCTGAATCACGACGTTGATGAGGCAGTGATGACACACAGACCTCATCTTGTGACAGAAGCCCAGCCTAATACCCTTGATCATGTTCTGAACATGACTGCACATGCTTCCGACAGTGGCCAGGCCCTCTCCGTTACCCCACCATTTGTTAACATGGAGCCTCTTTTTCTTTCCAAGGAGACTCAGATCTACATTGACATGGCTGAAGTCCCTCTGCAGCATTCCCCTGGGCCCTACACAATGACAGTGAGATCCCTTCAGAGTGATGTCGACATTTTAATGGCGACAGTTTGACTGCTGAGAATTGTCTTCATTCTCACAGTATGGGGCAAAAAGTGAACATAGTTATCTTTAACCATGCATTCTTTATAAAATGCTGAAAAAACAAACCCTGAAAGTAGGAGAATTAAGAAAAAAATTATGCATAAATCACCAACAACATGCATTGGACGTAACCTACATCGTCTCAGATTTTTTAGTAGGGTCTCATGTAGTCTAGCCTGTCCTTGGTAAATTCCTGATCAGCTTCCTGAGTGCTGGGTTTCATATGTGTTCCATCATGCTAAGTCCATAAATATACATACAGATAGAAATGAATATGTATGTGTATTCTTTTGAGACAGAGTTTTACTATGTAACCCTGACTTGGTCTGGAATCACTATGTAGGTCAAGCTGGCTTTGAACTCACAAAGATCTGTCTACCTCTATCTTCCAAGTACTGATATTAAAGGTGTATATCATTACATCCAACTAGGATTGTATATTTTTAATAAAAATTAAACAGTACTTGGGCGAATGGGTCCTGTGCCTCACCTGAGCAGCACAGTAGAGCTGGCCCTGGTGGTGTGGTTTCATGTCAGCCTCCTCGAGGGCATGAGAGCAGGAAAGCTGGCCCTGGCCCTTGCCAGCTATGGCACTGGGTGAACTAGCCAGGGCAGTGCTGGAGAACTTGCCCTGACAGTGTGTGTGCAGAAGAGCTGGTGGGCTGACTGCCTCAGCTACCACTCAGGCCCAGATCCGGGTCTTTGAGCTGGCCTATCCCAACACGTATCTCATCTAGGAACTGCTAGAGCCACATGAAAGGGCTGGTCCTGCAGATCCAAAGCTACAGGATCTCCATGACACAAAACAGTAACAGGATATCTGAGAGGAGTCCCAGTGAGGATCCAGTGTTGATGGTGTAGCAGAAGCCAGAGGCATCTTAACAAGACCATTGACTCACTGTAATAACATTTGCAAATAAAGATGTGTGGACAGTAGGTTATACTGTGGGACACACTGTGATACACTACAGCTTCCATATTAAGATTTTTAAAAATTCTACCTTAATTTCTTTTGAGGGGGAGGTTTTAGGGGTGGAGGTGGCAAGGAAGGGACAGGAGAGTGAGACTGGGATGTATGTGAAAGTCAGAAAGAATCAATAACAAGTTAAGAAAAATTAAATCTATTAGCACATAGTTCTGTGGATTTCACTTCAATGAATCACAGGCTCCCACAGGGTTAACATATGTGCTGTACACATCTCTCAAAATCAGTAAGTTGTCTTGCAGTATCTTAGTGGTATCAAAGTCTACTGTGGATATGGCACAGAGGTAAACGGGCCACTGCACATGAGAGCTGTTTTAAAACAAAATGAAATGAAAGCCTGCAATACAGAAGCCTGTTTGAACTGGTTGGTGAGGTTTCCTTTTCCCTCTCAGTATTCCTTTTCCTTCCCTTCCTCCCCTCCACCCCCCCTTTTCCTCGAGTGCTGGGATTACAGGCTCATCCCAACATGCCTGGCTTTGTTATTAATCTTCACAGGAAAATTCTGATCTTAACAGATATAACGAGGTGCTAGAGAGATGTCTTAGCAGTTGAGCACTGGCTGCTCGTCAAGATGACTAGAGTTCAATTCCCAGCACCCACCTGGCAGCTCATAATCTGTAACTCCAGTTCAACGGGATCTGATACATGGTTCACAGGTATACACGCAGGCAAAACATCCATACACATGAATTTTTAAAGAATTAGGATTAGTTGTAGAAGAACATGCCTATAGTCCTGTGGCATCCTGTGGTAGCTAAAGTGCTGAGATACAAGGAAGGGTCCCTTTAGCTCAGGAGTTGGGAGACACACGGTCTCCCCAAACACCCCCCCCCCCAAAAAAAAAACCTCGTGTGGAAAAACTTGAGGAGTGTACTGGGTCTCTTTTTAGAAAAGCTGCTTCTCATGTGAGCTACCTTCCACCTGAGCTGAGAATGTTCTCTTTTCAAATTGAAGTTCCCCTGAGTACATCATGGCCCAGACAGGGGTTAAACTCTTGGCACCAATACCCTAACAGGAATGCTGGATACCACCAACCAAGTAAGGGACAAACGTGTGGATAGACTCTTTGTCTTACACAGCCCCTGAAACTCTTGGGGCCACTCTGATTTCCCAGCATCACTGAAATATCAGTTCTGGCTGCTGAGATGCTTGTCCATGGCGTCAAGAGAACGTATATCAAAACTACAGAATGCAGGTGCACGTCATCCTGTCATTCCAGTTTCAGTGTATGTGCTGGGAAGCAAGAACCTGAGGCAGTTTTTAAAATGACACAAGGAGTTGGGGATGTGGTATTTGAATGAGAACAGCCACCATAACCTCACAGATTTGAATGTTTGTCCCTTAGTTGGTGAGTGTTTGGGAAAGATTAGGAGGTGTGGCCTAGTTGGAGAAGGTGTGTCATTGGCTCTGAGGTTTCAAAAGACTTGTTCTATTTCCAGTGTGCTCTCTTTCTCCTGCTGTGGATCAAGGCATGGACTCCCAGCTGTCCCTGCTGCCAGGCCTTTGTTCCAGCACGGACTCTAACCTCTGGGACTGCAATCCCTGCTAAATGCTTTCTCCCATACATTACCTTGGTCATGATGACTTTGTTACAGCAATAGGAAAGTAAGACAGAGGAAGAAACAGATGGAAAGAGAACACTAAGCTTTTAAAACTACAGCAGAGTAACTTTGCTATTTAAAAGACTTGGGGCACATACCTTTAGTCCCAGCATTTGGGAGGCAGAGGCAGACAGATCTCTGTGAGTCTGAGGCCAGCCTGGTCTACAGAGTGAGTTCCAGGACAGCTAGAGCTAAATAGTGAGATCTTGTTTACAAACAAACAAACAAAGATGGTGATTTGGGGCTCAACTTGAATGAGTCTGCTCTAAGCATGACTTTGTTAATGAGTCCTAGGACTCTCATGGCAGTGATCTCAGCAGAGGAATGAGCGAGGCTCTGGGATGGAAGGCGAGGCCCTTGGTGCCTTGCTCTTGGTGCCTGTGATTTGCCAATGCTCATTCCCAACATTGTAAAAAGAAACACCAAAAAATATTGAGCCCAAGGAAGGAAGGAAGGAAGGAAGAAAGGAAGGAAGGAAGGAAGGAAGGAAGGAAGGAAGGAAGGCATAAACCAAGTAAAAAGAAGAGCACAAAGAGAAACCTGAGGAATACACAGAAGGTTCCATTGACACAGGCAATGCTCCGGCCACTGACACACTGCTCAGTGGAACTGTTCCTCCACTGAGCCAAAGTCATAAGGAAAATGAATTGCTGACAGGTGAGGAATTATCAAAGTGAAAAGTATAAAATCTACTCAACTCAGAAGCTGGCAGCATGTTCTGCTTCAGTCTAATGTGTGGTAAGATTTCAGAAGGCCACGTTTGGTGTAACTCCCTTCATCCAGATTTACTTTCTCATGTTATGAGAAACCACAAAACTTAAAGAGGGCTCTAGAGTCCAGCCATGTTGCAGACATCGTAAAAGTAGTACAGAGAGAGAGCACAGTAGTCTGCTTTTAGGACAAGCAGCAAGGAAACTGTGGCATGGGGTCTCTGTATGTGAGGCTGCTTTTTGATGGCTAAACAGCTCATGCCACGTCCTGTCCTCCAACCTAATGTCCACGTACACAGACACTCTAGTGACTCTACCTGACACTCTGCAGGGTCTGTAATCGCTTCCGATTTCTTTCCAGTTCTAATTTTCTCTTTTCAATTTTGGCTTCTAAATTCGCTTCATCAGAGGCCACATTATTGAGCAGGTCTTTCGTCTTCTGAACCTGTGCCTACAGTGAGTAGGAAATAGTGAGATATGGAGCCAGGGAGGGCTGTCACCTGGTTCTGAGCACAGAGCTCCTTAATACTTTGCACAAAGCAACATCACACAAACCACACAAGAAAGCAAACCAACAAAAGCCCACCCCTCCCCCACTGTAACTTATTAATTTCCGGTGACAGGAATGAAAGGAGGATATGTGGACCGGAGAGTACCTTTCTTGTCATGCAAAGTGGGTGTTTCTGTCTATGGAAGCAAACAAAAGTGGAGAGAAGAATGTCCTAGTAAAGACAGAGAGGCCATAGGATCTGTGTCCAGCCTCCTTGGTTAGGATTGGGCATTGGTCAATCACTTTGCACTGTCAGCTTTCACTTGGGCTGCTCCCTAGTTACAAAATATCAACTTAGGGAGTGGACACACACACATACACACACACACACACACACACACACACGCAGACATAGACACACCCACATATGCACAGACACACACAAACACACAAAGATATGCATACACACATACACAGAGAGACAAAGACACACACACAGATACACACACAGTCACAGAAACTCAGACATAGACACATTCACAGACACACACACAGATACAGATACATATACACACAAGACAGATATACATACACAAGACAGACAGACAGACGGACGGACACACACACACACATACACATACAGAGTTGGCTCAGGAGGGGACCAAAAACAAAACCTTCATGAATTAGCCTCAGCTCTGACCCTCTGTCTGCTTTGACGGACAAAGATTCCTTTTCCTTCAATGGTAAAGCTCAACTAAAAACTAAAATAAATGGAGAAACTGCTTTATTGGTAAAGTCAATGCAGAAATGGATCCCACAGCAGCAAGTAGCCATTCTGGTGAGATGCAGCTTTATAACAAGGTCTAGGCACAATGGGACAGAAGCTCGGGGCTTTTGGCACTACAGGGTAGTACTGGCTATATCCACAGACATTCCTATCTTTCTAAGAGCACATTTGCTTGAAGTGGGCAGGGTAAGAGTAAATGTGCTGGCTTCACGTTCACACTATGAGAAGCTAGCTGTTGGGAGCCTCGTGGTTCAGAGCACCAAATGAGCTACATCAGAGTCGGGAGCACAACCTGGGTGTGTGTGAACCTCCTCCCCATGTGTGACTATTTAACCCTGCATGAAGTTCTTGATGATAAGGTAGGATTCCCCTCTGGTACTCTGCATGTATGTTAATATACCATAAAGATTTTTCTGGCTGTTTACCTGCAGGTCTCTGCAAAGCCAAGGGATCCACAAAGCAACGACTTTGGAAGAGTAGACACTTGCCAAGATTCTCAGAGACAGAGCTTCTTTTGAAACTACAATTATTGTCAGTGAATTTATGGCCTCATTGTGTGTGTGTGTGTGTGTGTGTGTGTGTGTGTGTGTGTAAGTAAAACCCAATAATTTCTGTGGAATTCATGTGTGTGTATCTAGGATCAATCTCTAAGCTTTACACATGCCAGACAAGTAACTCTATCACTGAGCTGTAAGTCCAGCTCAGCACACTACTTTTTTGATTCTTCCTTTAGAAATCACTAAAAGTCAGGCATGGTGGTGCTTGCATTTAATCTTAGCACTCAGAAGGCAAGGGTAGGCAGATCTCTTGAGTTTGAGACTAAGTTGTTCTATATAATGAGTTCCAGGCCAGCTAGAGCTACAGAGTAAGCTCTATCTTTAAAAGAAAACAACAACAAAAGAATCCCAAGTGGCAAGGGCAAACACACATAAAAATCTTTAAAATATATATATATATATATATTCATTTATTGCAAATGCATTAAAAATTCCAATACAAGTGTAAATTCATTCTAACAGGAAAGTGGTAGCTCCTTATTCAACAACTCTTTTTTTTAGATTAAAAAAAATGATGTACATTGTATTCATATAAGTTTATGCACATGTGTGCAGTGCCCACAAAGGCCAGAAGAGATCCCCTGGAATTGGAATTTCAGAAGGTTGTGACCTAGCTAATGGGTGTTGGGAACCAAACAGGTCTCTGGAAGAGCAGTATGTGCTAATTATGAAGCTATCTCTCCAGTACCCTTAACCAATAACCCTTGCTGACAATGAATATTTTCTGATTAAGTCACACTATAGCTTAGGGAATTTATCTGACCTTAAAATCTTTTCCATATTCCTCAAGTAATAAAGATCAATGTATAAACAAGAATTTCCAGCATCTGGGGATAACTGGCCTGTACTCTGCAATCCATCTATGAGCCCGTGCTATCAGTTTGCTTTTGCTTTCAGAATTATGAAACATCGGAGGAAGCGCTCACAGGAGCTGCCCACCAAGGAACTAACTGTGTCATTTCAGGAGGACCAGCTTTTAACATTCAGTGCTCAAAGTGTATTTGGCCGTGTTCATTGATTCAGTTAGAATATTGGTATGTATAAAATATGGCTATTTACAGATTTTTAAATCTAGAAGCCATCCTACATTTACAGAACAGATAGAATAAAATACAAAGCACTTGCCCTAAACTAGGTGAGCAGAGACTGCTGTGAAGTCTAGTTGCCTTTGTCCTTTTGTGTTCCCCGTTACACAGGAAACAGGAAACTTACAACCAGGCAGGAGCACAGTACGTGGTCACTGTCATGTACTCTCAGGGTCATTGCTGTCTCCCTGTGTGTCCTAGGGACATTTCTGTAGCGGGCAAGAGCAGCGGGCAGTGCTGGCGTGATTCCGGGTATTCTTCAGTCTGGAAGGCTTTCCCGCTCTCCTTGCACTGCATGGCCTCACTCTGCTAAGTGTCAGCTAATTGATAGGATGCTTCAGTTTGTCAGTTGATTCAGATTATGCATCTCTGGCAGGAATACCACAGAGAGACTTCACCCTGTAAGCTGCCATAATCTCAAGTTATCTAATGATGACACCTTACTTCCTCCCTCAGTTGAGGGCTGATGCTAGAACTCCACCTGCTCTCTTGCTGTTTGTAATAAGTATTGCATTGGTAGTGTTCTTGATGCATTTTTTTTTTAATTTGAGAATGGATTGTTTCCTACTTCATTGATCTATACTATAAAATCAACTATTGTAATTCATCTATTTGATGTGTCAACAGTTCCTGGTTTGTTCAGGGAAGCCCATCAAGTTGGCACCATGTCTCCCCTACAGACTCCTGGTAACCTTTGAACACCTTTGCTCCTCCTAGTACACTAAGAGGCTGCATTCCTCCTAACCAGCTCTGGAATGAGCCATTTGTCCTGGGCGCCCTGCTCCCATTAGTACAAAGTAGCATTTAAAAGCCAAGATCCAGGTGCTTGCTATACTCAGAGCTTAAGAAAGCACGATGGAGCTGTGAACATGTGGACACACATGAATAAACGATGCATCTACATGTGTGCATCGCTAACAAAACTCAGCTGACAGTGGGGGAGTGGGAAAAAATGGTGATCTTTCTACCTATTACAGGGCAGCTTAGAGTTAAGGGTTGGGGTGTAGCCCAGTGGTAAAGTACTTGTCTAGCATATACAAGGTCTTTAGTTCTAAACCCTTCTCTATACAGAGACAAAAAGAAAGCCTGGAATTGTTTAAGTGCCCAGCAGTGAGGAATTGGCTAAACAAAATAGGATAATATTCACCAAAATATCAAAATAAGAATGGCTACATTACTTTAAAACTGGTGAATTTTTTTTTTTGGGTGGGGGGGAGAGTGGGAAGAGCTTGTTTTCAAAGACTATCTCTGTGTAGCCCTGGCTGTCCTGGAACTCATTCTGTAGACCATGCTGGCCTCGAACTCAGAAATCCGCCTGCCTCTGCCTCCCTAGTGCAGGGATTAAAGGTGTGTGCCGCCACCACCCAGAGTCCCAGGTGTTAAGAACAACGAATAAAGCAATGCACTCTTACCAAAATGTCCTTGATGGCGATCCTCATCACCTTCTCAGTCTCATTTATCTCTAGGGGTCTAGCAATGGCTTCTGTTCTCAGTTCCTAGGAGAAATGCAAGCACTTAGACATTTTGAGACGAAGATTTTAGTTTGGTTTTTTTTTTTTTTTTTTTTGTTTTTTCGAGACAGGGTTTCTCTGTGTAGCCCTGGCTGTCCTGGAACTCACTCTGTAGACCAGGCTAGCCTCAAACTCTCAGAAATCCACCTGCCTCTGCCTCCCAAGTGCTGGGATTAAAGGTGTGCGCCACCACCGCCCGGCTAGATTTTAGTTTTTAATTTCTATTAGTTGCCATTTTTTTTCCTTAAGAGTCTGGTTGTTTCCTGAGATGTGCTTGAACTTTAAGCCATCCCCATCCTCATACTCCCAAACTGCTGGGATGTTCACCTTCATGCCCAGTGATACCCCCTCAAGGAATGTGATATATATGTCACACTGGATCTCCAAAGTTTAACTCAGTGGTAGACTGCACTTAACAGCAAGTCATAACAACATCTTCCTCCAACTACCTGGAAGTGCTACCCAAGATCACTAGTCACAAACATTTATGTTATAATCATCTGGGGAAACTTTGAAAGTCCTAACGCCTAGACCATATTCCATATCAATGACATGAACATGACAGCTGGTTTAATAAAGATATCTGGGTAAGTCTGGGGGCAGTGAGTCCTGGGAGCCATGAACTGAGAGGTGCACTACTGAGGGCAATGCAGAGAAGAGGCCGGGGAGAACGTCTCAGCCTCAGGCCACACCCTGAACTAGAAGTTAATGATACTAACCATCTCAACATAAAGTACCACCCCTAACCAAGAAGCCGTTTGCAATCGATAGCTGCTAGAGAGAGGAATCAGTCTTCCTCAGTGGAGCGACACCTAGTGCACTAACCACACTCGAGGTCTTCCTCAGACACCTAGTGCATTCACCATGCTTGAGGCAGGCTCATACTTATGAGGCTGGCCAACACTAAATGGACTCCATGGGTTTTCCTTTTGATTGTCTTTGGTTTTTTAGAAAGAAAAAAACCATAGAGTTGGGTATGTAAGGGAGGGAGGATCTGGGAGAAGTTGGAGGAGGGGAAAGAATATGATTAAAATATATTGTATGAAAAGTATTTTTAATTAAAAATGACTAACACCAGTGGGCAGTGTCCACTAGAATCAGAAAAGGATTCACGCCCTCTTCCCACACATTAGCCAATTTCCCACACATTAGCCCACTCAATCAGGAAGAGCTGAGTATAAGTTGGAAGAAGTACAGGGTAAGAAGACAGACTTCATTCCTAAACTGATCACTACTTACCCTCAGCTCAACCTCTTTGCCCAGCAAGTCATACAGAGAAGCTCCTTTGGCAGTGATTTCAGAAGCAAGTTGTCTGGCTGCTTTCAAATCTGCAATCTGGACAGAAAATTGTACAAACAGAACCCTCATTTTTCAACAGGCATTCAGCAGCCACCCTGCTAGCCTCCAGGCAGGCATGTAACTACGGAGCACATGTCTGCTAACCTCCAGGCAGGCGTGTAACTACAGAGCACATGTCTGTTAGCCTCCAGGCAGGAGTGTAACTACAGAGCACATGTCTGCTAGCCTCCGGCAGGCGTGTAACTACAGAGCACCTGCCTCAGCAGCCCTTCTTACTGCTGTAGGACAGAGCTCCTGGACACTAACTCAGGAAACACTGACAACATTCAAATGAGACCAAATCCAGGACCCCTGCTCTCTCAGAAATCCAACTGTACCATCAAACTGAGCTCACAACTAAAGGTATGAGCAACAGAAAGCTGACACGCTTCCATCTGGACTAGGTCTCTACTAGCGGAGCCCACGGGGCAGCCTGAGGGATGTGCATCCGCAGAGCTACTTTGAAGCTCAGGAGAGACCGACTCCACTAAGCACTTCGGCTCTCCTGGGCGCCGCAGGGCTGATGCCGACAGCTCTGATGATGACTCAGACTTCCTCAGGTGTGCCTATCCCGTTCTTCCTTCGATATGAAATCCCTAAGAAGCCCAGACACAGACACAGGCATCCTCGCTCCCTTTCCTCGTGAAGAGACACTGACTTTCTCTCTTGACTTTCAACATACCAGCAACAACTCACTATCTCTCCTCCCTCCTTCCCTTCTTCCTTCCCTCCATCCCTCTGTCCCCCCTCTCTATCCATTCTGTGACCCTGTTACAGTTCTAGCTTCTCCTCTAAAGGCCCAGGGTACCACTTTCCAGTTCTACATGCTTTGCCTGCCTTTCCCATGGTTTTAATCCCCTGCATGTTGATGCCTTCTAACTTTCAGCTTTAGCATCCCATACAAACTCTTCCTAGACATCTCCACTTGGACATCCAAAAACTTAATGTCTGCAGTGAAACTCAGGACAAATATTTCACTAGCTACAGTGGCTATTTTTATCTTTAGATTACTTAAAAATTAAATATTAGATCCCACTTCCTTGATTGTGCTAGCCACTTTAGCCAGTGGCTTCTGAAGAATAAGACCTGATGCAGCCCTTGCACACCACTAACCAAGTCTGCAACACAACCTGAGGGTCTCGTGTGGTCTCACCCTCCTCTACTCACACCCACCTCCACACAATCTATCATCAAAGCACAACTGAGTCTGGGCTGCTGAGACACCTCACATGGTAAAAGGTGCCAGCCATCAAGCCTCATGATGGGGACCTACATGATGGAAGGAGACAAACAATTCCCACAATGGCCTCTGACCTGCTTGCCCACTGTGACACTGTGTGCCTATACACATAACTTTTAACTACGTCTGAACCTCAATTGTGACCTCTGGCTCCTGGTATGTGCCTCTCAGGCAAGCATGAAAACCACAATGCTTTCTCTGGGGCCTCAGAGAAAAGAGTTGCCCTGGCGCCTGATTAATGTGTTTCTTATCTGGGATTTTTTTCATTTCTCAGTTCCACATCTGAGCCTTGGGCTGAGAACCTTTCCAGTTGCTTCTGCAGTGAACTTTTTATGGCGATATATGAGAAGGCCCTGACGATACCTGTCCCCCCACCCTAACACAGAGACCCGGTAACTCTTCTCTCTTCTGTGGGTTTGTTTTTTTTTGTTTTTGTTTTTTTTTTTTTTTTTCGAGACAGGGTTTCTCTGTGTAGCCTGGCTGTCCTGGAACTCTGTAGACCAGGCTGGCCTCGAACTTAGAGATCCACCTGCCTCTGCCTCCCAAGTGCTGGGATTAAAGGCGTGCGCCACCACTGCCAGGCACTGTTTGGTTTTTCAACACAGGGTTTCTCTGTGTGGCCCTGGCTGTCCTGGAACTCACTCTGCTGAAAGCTCCATTTTCTACCCTAGAGTAAAAGTCAAACGCTTTTCTGAGGCCAGAGGGTTTGCTGTATTACCCTCTAGCTTCCACCAGAGGGCTTCCTCTACTGTTCTCAAAGGAACAAAACACACAATGGGGGATTAGTCCCCACTCTCACTTTCATGGCCTGATGGCCTGTCCCTTCCCTCTCACTTCTGCTAAGAAGTCATGTATACCTGAATCCCCTGATGGCCCTGCTTATGATAACAGCCCTGACCCTCAGTGCACTGCATTCCCACAATGCTCTGCTGGTCTCCAGGACACTGACTGGACCAGATCTTCCACACCTCTGTCACTGTTGTTCACATTCTGATTCCTCCAACTAAGCAACCTGTATCCTCAGTGCCAGCCAGGTAGGATGGAGTGCTGTGGGTTAGACATCCTCTACTGCCATGGGTGAGACACAGACATCTGCTGCCACAGATTTCGTCATCCTTACCTTGGAGCCCAGATCAAACTTGAATTTGCTGATGTCCTCCTCTCCTACATCGGAGCCCTCCATCCCTTTGGTCTTCATGGCAGTGTAAAGAACGGACGTGATCTTCAGCAGCTCTTTCACTGCGTACCCGTCGGCCTGATAGAGCTTCTTGGTGTTGAGTTTTATATGTGCCTTTGTGGCCTGTTTTGAGACAAAGTTCTGCTTTGCTTTCTTTCTTCAGATAGAGTCTTACTATGTAACCCAGGCTGGCCTGAAACTCACTATGGAGCTGTTCAGACTATATTCAAACTCTCAATTCTCCTGTCTTATCCTTCTAAGCACTGGAATTACAAGAGTGTACAACCATACCCTGATTCAGGTACAGTCCAGATCTCATGTAGGTAATTTGAGAATGTCTCCACCAGCAACCGTGATACAACTCTTACTGAGCTGTTTTTTGTTTTTTAAAGACAAGATAAAATACATTGTGTCTCATATTGTGATAAAGCGCAACCTGGGAAAAGATCCCAAAGCTATAGATGCATGTATCTTTGACCCAATAATTCCAGTTCTAAGAACTGTTCTAAGCATAGACTCACAAAATGAAAACCAGAGGCTATTCATTACAACATTATTTCAAATAACAAAGGTTGTAAACTACCTAAAAACCTATGTAAATAACATAATTGTGCAATATCTATGTCATCAATATTAACTCAAGTGTATGAGGAAATTCTATATGCATCTGGAAAGTTCTTCAAAATATAGCATTAAGTGAAGATAGCAAGATGCTACACAGGATGTGTGAAAGGAAATATATGCATATTATTTATATATTATTAATATATATTATTATTTGTTTAAATATGTGGAAGCAAACTCTGGGATCCATCTAAAGTGTGGATATTACGATTGTAACTCAGCCCAGGGCACGCATGGCAGAAAGCCATTTTAATCCGTATAAGTTTGTGATCTAAAACTTTTGAAGCATAAGACATATTACTTATCTAAAATTAAACAAATAAAACCATATAAGTAATGAGTCAAAAACTAAATAACTCTGGTGGCACGGTTCCAGAGACTAAACAACACTCTGGTGGCACAGTTCCAGAGACTAAATAACACTCTGGTGACACAGTTTCAGAGAAGCCTGGCAATGCGGTAGTTTTAGAAAATAATTTGAAAACAGTCCCAACCAGGAGTCATCTTTTTCTAGCTTATTTGTCAGTGCCGTAAAATAACTGTGAACTAACCATGAACTGGGCAATTGCCTTAATGAAGAAAACTCGGTCTTGTTCAGTCTCAATGTCAGAAGGGATGTCGGTCTGCGGCTCATACCTATCAGAAAGAGAACAAGCGTGAGCCAGCATGAGGAGTTCAATCCCCAGAACCTGTATAAAGATGGAAGGAGAGAATCAATTCAATATTGTCCTCTGATCTCCACATGTGTGCATATGCACACTCGCAAAGTAACAGAAAAGTGTAAACAAGCCAAGTATGGGATCCAGAGCACAAACTAAATCTAGCTCACGTCTAGCTTTTGTGAAAATAACCAAGACTGTGACTCAAGGCCCAGATAGACACTAGGACCTTCACTTTAAGAAGTGGCAGAGTTGCCGGGCAGTGGTGGCGCACGCCTTTAATCCTTGGGAGGCAGAGGCAGGCGGATTTCTGAGTTTGAGGCTTGCTTGGTCTACAGAGTGAGTTCCAGGACAACCAGGGCTACACAGAGAAAACCCGTCTCAAAAAAAAAAAAAAAAAAAAAAGACAACAACAACAACAACAAAAAATCCAACAAAACAAAACAAAACAAAAAGAAGTGGCAGAGTTGTTGAAATCACTTTGATTTACTAACAATTAGCCAAGGCTCAGAAGACTGAGACTCTTATCCTTGTATTTGTACAGTCTGAAAGATAAGAATAGTTTTTACATTTTAAAAGCAAAGCAAAGGGGCCGGAGAGGCAGCTCAGTGGTTTAAGAGCATAGATTGTTCTCCCAGAGGACCTGTGTTCAGTTCCTCACATCAATGTCAGATGGCTCCTGACATTGCAGTTAACTGCCTGTAACTGCAGAATATGCAACAGACATCTCATGTAGTCTGAATTTTAAGTGTAACAACTCATACAATATTTACTATCTGGGTCTTAACACAAAAGGTTGCCAATCCTAATATAAGACTTTTAACACAATGAAAAAAAGCTACATTATGTCTTGTTTTTGATTTATAGTTTACTTTTGATTATGTGTATGTGTGTAAGGATGTGCGCATGACTACCAGTGCCCAACGAGGTTGGAGGGCTAAGGTCCTTCTGGAGCTGGAGTTATGTACAGTTATGACTCGTCCAACATCAATGCTTGGAATCAACTCAGGTCCTCTGCAAGAGCAGTCCAGGCTCATAATCTCTGAACCAGCTCTCCAGCCATATTTATAATATTTCTAATACAGTATACCCTGAGTGTGCAAGCAGGTCCCTGATGCTGAAGTAGAGGCTGTACCAGCACCCTAATGAGGACAGTCACCTACTCCATGTTCTTTAAATTCTCGTGATTTCTTTCATTTCTTAAATATTTGAGATAAGGGTTCTCACTATGTAGCCCTGGCTGGCCTGGAACTTGATATGTAGGCAAGGCTGACCCTAAACTAAGAGACATCTACTTGCACCATCATGCCTGGGAGCTCCTTACAGGTTACAGCTAAATCCATCCTATTGTAGCCTGCACTGTAGCCTGCCTTCGCACGGCAACAAGTTCCAGCTAGCTACTGAGTGAAGCCAACTATCCATACTGAGGTGTGAATAAAGTGCATTCTAACCTTTTCACAAGCCACAGAAGTACTTCAGAGACAAGCCCAAAGTTGGGTGTGCGGAAATTCTCCATAGAAATATGGCGCGGGTACCCCAAGGCTCTCATCATCTCTGTGAAATCTGTCCAATATAAAACACAGTTCAGTCAGCCCTTACCAAATAGCACCTCCTTTTGGAAAGTAATTAATCTTAATGCTTTCCCTTCTTAATTGGGTCATCTCAACTCCAGGTGCTGAATTCATCAATTCTAGAATGGAAAAGGAAAGGGGAGATACAAAACAATATCTAATTCATCACCTGAAAAACACCCCAAGTTCAGTGGGAGTAGATTTTTTTCAGAGAAACGAGGCTTAGGTATTAGCAAGATCAACTACTTCATATTCAAAGAAAATTTAAGAGAATGGTTGAACTATATGCAGTATTTAGATTTATTGTAAAAAAAAAAGATTAGTAAACAGTAATATTATTAAGTTGGGAGCACCTAAAAAAAGCCACACTGCTTGAAAGAAAGGAGAAAACAAAAACAAAGAAAGCGAGACTTAGAGATGAACATGACCAAGCCTGGCGTTGTGGTGCACACCTTTAATCCCGGCTCTCAGTAGGCAGAGGCAGCAGAACTCTGTGAGCTTGATGCTAAGCTGGTCTACAAAACAAGTTCCAGGTTATCTAGGGCTGTTGTTCAAGACAGGAGAAAACCTTGTCTTGGAAAACAAATAAACAAAACAACCAACAATCTCTGAGTTTTTACAATACGCTGAGATCTTAAACATGTTTCCTGGTTATGTAACGTCTACTCATACTTACTGAAGACAGGTATTCAAAATGTACTATTGACCATTCCAAATAATCTACCTGGGCAACAAAGCAGGGCAGGCAGATTGTGCTAGATCATGGAAGAGAGAGATGATACAAAAACAGCCTTCCCTTATTTCTTTCCCTTACATCCCTATGAAAGGAGTCAGGCTTTGTCTAAACACTTCCTTCAGCTAAGTAGTAGCTGTCAAGTTCTCCACTGTTAAATGGGGACAGTCTCAGAGATTACACAACTATACAGCGTTTATTTAAGGTAAATATTCTGAAATACTCTTTTTAAATACTCTTTCCAGTACAATGGTCGCTATTTAATGAGCCCAGTAAAGGGCTGGCCTCATCAAAAACTATGTGGGACAGCCATAATTACACTGTTTCAAATACCCTCAAGTCCCAGCCGACATGACCGGAGTAGCTGCTACTCTTCTGTAAGTGAAGCAAGATTTTTGGGTCACACAGTCCCGTCAGTCTTTCTAGCTGTGTGAACCAGGGTTAGCTATACTACTTAACTTACAATTAAAACTAGGAACAACAAGAGTGAAATAGAACAGCCTGCCACAAAAAGGTTGCTTCCCCCAAAGAGTAGCAACGAGTAAGAGTATTCCACTTCCCCACTCTCTGGCAAAGTTCTCTGCTCAGTATTTGGTGTTCAGGCAATCTGGATTCAAACTATAAAGTCACTCACTCTATCCATCACTTGTCCAAATTACTTTGACCTCTTGCTGCCTGTTTCATCTCTATATCAGGGCACAAGAACTACCTAGGAGTAAACAAAATATTGCCCACATAGAGCATGTGACAGACTAATACACAAACAAAACAACAAACCCTCAAAAATGAACAAAAAAAAAACCAAGCAGCAATAGCCATTCATCCAGTCACTTCCTTGGTTTTATTGGTTCTACAAACTCTAATACAGAAAAAGTTTCCATTTCCCCATGACCTTTCTAATGCGGCTGCGAATGTGGCTGTGATAACCAGAGATAAAATGAGGTAAAATTAAACATTCAGTTCTTCAGCCGCTCGAGACACATTCCCAGTGTTCTAGCTACACGTGGTCAGTGACGGCCAGAACTTTCCAAAGGTGCTGTAAAGTTCTGTCAGCCCCTGGCTGGCCTGGGGACCACCGGCCTGCCTGGACCTACGGTTCTAGTAGGGGTCTGGCAGGGAAGCCTCGAGTCCCTGGGAAGCCCACGGGAAAGCCGGGTGCAGCCTTACTGCGGAGGTCGCGGAAAGACATGGCGCTCTGGTCCCCAAGAGTCCACTGAGGCGCCGCTGCTCGTCTCTTTAGAGTTCGCAGGCCCAGCGCTCTCCGGTCTCTATAGCAACACTCAGAGGACTTGGACAGCGTGCGGTCCAGGCCAAACAAGACAGGAAGCGAAGAGGTGTGGTGCGCGCAAGCGCACAATACAGACCAGCAGGTGGCGCTGTGCATCTTGAGAGCTGCGCAGAGTCCTAGCCATTCATTGAGCGCTTTTGGCTCCGGTCCCTTTGTACCTCTCATTGCCTCACTAATATATAGAGAGGACTATCGCCTTTTGTGACTGAGTCTCCTTTGTATTTATAAAAGCGTAGCTAAACCCCGCAGTCGTAGCTGTATAAAGTATCCACAGAATGACAGGAACGAAGATACCCTACCCTGGGCAGAATTCGAGAACTGTACCCGGAAGGATTTCGTGCACGCACAGCTGGTCAGTATTCACGACAAGCCGGAAGTTGGCGCCCAGGCTCGCGCGCCAGAAGTTGCCCTGGAAACTGTGGTTAATTCTGAGCGGGGAGAGGTAGTGTTGGCGTTTCACGCCTCGGTGCCAGGTTCAGCTCAGGCTCTGCAGAGAACCCTCCTTGGTGATTGCTACGAGTCGAGGACAACTGCGACAAAGAACGGCTGGGGAGAGATGAGCTGAGCCAAGAAGGGTGGGCGAAGAGGAAGGAAAATGGGTAGGCGCAGGATGTCACGGTGCCCTTGGCTAAGACATTGTGGTACAGACCAAGAGTAGATAGATACTTAAGTACTTAAAGTATGTGAAGTAGGGCCACACATCTGTCTAACATGGGGGACAATGCTTTTGAATAGTCTTTGCAACAAATGCTTTTGAACCAATGAGCAGTCCAAAGCAAAGAAATGAAACTCCATTAGTATCTATGTACAAAAACAATGGTTCATAAACCTAGATGTAAAAACTAGAACTAAATTTTATATAATGAAACATAAAAAGTTTGTGACGAAGTTAAGATTCTAAAGTACCTGTAGTTTTACGTTTCTACCAGCAGAACAGTTGTTCCAGTTTGTCCACATGCACAGGAAAAAAAAATCAGCATTATCTACATATTGCTTAACCTATGAGAAAATGGATAATTAGACAAGTGTCTCCCGGAACCATCTTCTCAGCATGATTCACGTCTCTGCAGGTTTGTTTGTCAAACTCATTCTTCCAACCACAGATGAGGACACCAAAGCCTCTAAAAGGTCGTCCTAGAGAATGACTTTCCAGCATACCAAAGCCAAATTTGTTTTATGTGAGGATCAGTGAATTTACCCTAGGTTTCTGGTCCCTTTCCTTGCCCTCCTCCCTCTTTGCCCCTGACCTGATACCATCCTTTCCCAAACTAGGGGGTCCAGAAAGACTAGAGTCTTTACTGTGACATCATAAGGACCAGTTGCCATGGGAGACCTGCAGACCCAGCCCCTAGGCAGGGGAGAGCAGGTCCTGCTGCACAGAAGGCCTGGCCACTCCTCCCCCACCATACTGGCCCTCCATGGAAGCCTTGGTCTGTGCATTCTCTGAGCTTCGAATAAGAGAAGGTGCCTGGCTGCAGGGAGGAGCAGCAGCAGAGATGCCACACTGTCCCAACCTGGGCCCAGAGCTACTGGGGAGATCCCAGGGACGTGCACGCTTGGGAAGGGAGTAACTCCTGATCTCGGCTATATGACTGGGCCAGTCATGTCCTCTTGTGGCCACTGTGCTTACACTGGTGCCAGCATACTCTTTCTGGAGTAGAGAGCACAGAAAGGGTTTGAAGTGCTCAATAGGATCACAGTGCCAAAGTCCTGGGCTGCTTGGGTCCCTCTGTTAAGGGAGCAAAGAGAAGTAATGAGAACAGACAGGAACTGAGGCTGGATAGCCTGAGGGGTGGAGGCTATCATATGAGTTGGTACTTGTATTTTCTCCAGAAGCTGGGCCCACTGGCCATCACCCTCCTGGTTCTCTCTTTCTCTCTTGCAGATGCAGTGAGCTGGGCCCCAGGACGCCCCAGCCACCCTGACACAGCACCCAACATCTATGAGGGAGGGTTGGGGGCCCAGCAGCAGCAGGGCCCCAGTGCCCAGGGAAGCAAGCCCAAGAACTTCCGATTGCGACACCTCCGGAGCCTGGCTCTCTACCTGCCAGGCCACATGCAGCCTGCTGGTCAATGTGGAAGCCACTGGCTAGGCCGGCTCATGGCTGGGGGCAGCCTGACACAGCCTGAAGGCTCACCCTGGCCCCTGGACCTGCCACAGGGGACCCTGGGTCCAGGTAATGGCCACTGCTCGGCCCTTCTGGAAGCCCACCTGCCCAGGGACAGCCTGGGAAATACAGGTGAGCTCTGTTAAGGCAGGACTGGAGACATGAAAGAAAGACTGAAGGGAACTCAAATGGGTCTTTTTCATTTCCTAGCCTTCTGCCAAGAACTAGGAAAGGACGCAGTGGCCAGGACACACTAAAATAATGTCATGCTCCAGGGGCCAAGATCTTGTTTAATTTTTTTTTTAATCCGTGTGCCCCACTATTGATTTAGAACATTGGTGTACACAATAAGTCCTCTGAAATCTCAGGGATAGTAATATACAACTGGACCACAGCAAAAGCCTGCTGGGATGTGTAAGGCAGGGAGACGACCTGGGACTAGGAGTTTTGGGTTCCTATCCTCACTCTGTATTTGATGGACCTTGGACAACTTTGCCTCAGTTCCTTCATTTTACAAATGAAGGATTCATGACATTTCAGTTTGACCCACTGACATCCCTTCCTCACCCTCACTAGTTCTTTCAAGGAAGTAGCGCCAGGCCCTTCAATTGTCTTGAAGGTTATAAGGGCCGAGGTCCCCAAGGCAGTGTTTTAGATTGGGCCCCTCTGAGTGACTTCTCTTTCCTTTTTCCTCAGCTTCCAGTTCCAGCATGGACCCAGCCAAGGGTGTCCCCTCCCAGTCTGGTCCCCCCGAGGGCTTGGGACTCAGGCCCAAGAGGTCCTGGAGAGCCTTGGAGGAGACCATGTGTCCCTTGTGCAAGAGAACCCGCTCTGGGGCCTTGGAGAGGACATAGGAGCCAAAGTGCCAGGGCTGGGGAACAGTAGGGGAAGGATGGCCGAGAAGGAGGAGGAGGCCAGGGTTACTGAGGAAGGGTTCAGTCCCAGCCGCAGCCCTCCACACTGAGATGGCCCCCAGAGTTGCCCAGCACCAGACCTGGGCTAGTCTGGGGAGAGCATGAGGAGGGAGGGAGGGAGGGAGGAAGAAGATCCATGAGAGGGACAGAAGAAATGGAAGCATGCCCATGCCCTTGCAGCCTGCCCAAACTCCGGTCAGCCACTTGTACCTGGGAGGTCAGGCCGAGCAGAGAATCGGGTTCCTGAGAGGCCAGAGAGTCCTCAGGTCTAATCTCAGTAAAAGCCAAGGCCTGCACCTTCTTGTCTGTTTGTCATTAAGCCAATCCAGTCAACATAGTCCTGCATCCACTCCAGGGGAACACAGGGAGTCAGGAGCCAGGTTTGGGGAGGCCTTGTGGATGAGGAGCTGCAGAGTGATAGCTCTAGAAGGCAAGCAGGGGGGTCACAATCGGCCTAAACATAGGGCATGACATTTGGGGGAGAAAGGATGGAATGTGGGTTTAGTTTAAAGGAACCAGGACACCAACCAATGCAGACATGTTGGCCTGGACCCCACACTGCCCCCATCCAGGATGGGGATGAGTCTAGGAGCCCATCAGGACTGGCACAAGTATTTTTTCTAGTGAGACTAGATTTCAGGTACTTGGACCAAGTCTTTGTTGTGATGTTCTGTAGCCTCTCAATAATGCCTTCCCCAGGCTGTGACTACCTAAATTAACTGTCTCCAGACAGCATCAACATCCACCAGGGACATTCCCACACTGGTTGTGAACATGACCAAGGCCTCTACTGACCATGTGACTTTATTGCCCTTGGAGCCTTCTCTAAGCTATGATGCAGGCGGAAGGCAGGAGGGTTGGAGAAGAAAACTATAAAGTTGCCCACATGGACCAGGTCCTAACTCCAAGCTGAGAGCTGACAATGCTGGTATGAACTGGCAGGCACCTGCTAAGGACCTTTAAGAAACAGGCCAGTTAATGCCTTCAGCAATGGAAGCCTTCAAGTTCACAGCCCTCTGCAGGACAGCTGCTTGCATACTGAGCCATCAAGAAAACAGCAGCAAGCTCCCTACCCCTCAGCCCTAGCCAAGGGCAAAGCACACAGTGTGGAGAGCCAACACTAGAGACAGGATGAGACTAGTCAAAGTCTACTTATTTATTTGTAATGAGACTACACACTACGATTCAACACTGGGCTGGACACTGCAATAATTATGGGACTGAAGGGAGACAGGTTGAGGCCTTTGAGCTGGATTTATGAATGCCCATGTCAGAATCTTCTGGAAGACTCTTCCTTGACTATACAGGGCAGAAATGAAAATCACATGATCACCACTGACTGAAAAGGGAGAGGATGTGGGGCTGGGGCCTCAGCACAGAACCAAAACCAGTCAGGACTGGCCTCCTGCTGGCTAATTCTGTTGAGGAAGGGGGATATTTACTGCCTTGGCCTTCCTTTGTGGGGACCCTTCCCTTTCTGAGGCCAGGCAGCCTTTAGCTGGCTCTACAGCCTGAGAGCCCTGAGCCAGGAGATGCTGAGGGAGGGAAACACTCAGTAATGAGGCCTGTCGATAAAGCTGTTCTTCATCAGTCTGGCACAGTGAGGGGCTGTGAGGACACCCTGACAGGCTCCTGTAACACTGCAGCAATTCTGGGCAGGACTGTGACAGCAAACACTTGGGGGCACAAGGGAAAGGATGCTGGAGACTTGAGATGTCTGCTGGAAGCAGAATTCATGGTACTGACAGAGCCTCTGCCTTAGAGGCTGAAGGCCCACAGGCACCAGCTGCCCTCTGCTCCCAAGGCCAGGTCCCATGGGTCCACAGTAGCAGAGATCCCAACACAGAGCTCAGCCTCCTCCTGTACACTGGCCCAGGCCTTCAAGTTTCAGCTTCTAGAAGGATAAGCAGGGAAGGAACCCAGAAGCCAACAGCTACCTGTCCTTGGCCCAGCTCCCAGTGTAGGTCAGCTATGTGGAGCATGCCAGGATTCAACAGGCAGGGTGATTCTTCTGGACAAGAAGAAGCGGGCAGTAGAACACTGGGAACAGGGAACTGTCCATCTAACTGTCTATGGAGAAGACTGGTTTCTGAAGCTTTTACGTTCTTGTGAAGGGCCAGCCCCTCTTTCTCTTTCCCCAGTTTCCAGCCTTTCATGGAGGAGTAGGAACCGCTTCCATCATGTAAGCTTCTTTAGGGCATTCCTACACAAAAACTGCCATTCTCCTTGCTGTGCCTCTTTATTCTAAGGTTCCTGTGTCTTCAAGGGTCAAAAATGTCCACATGTTTTCAGCAAAGTTCAGTCCATCTTGTAGGAAGGAGCTGAAGGAGCAGGAGGCAGAGGAGAAGCCTGGTGAGCCCTTTCCCAGTGAATGTAGACCCACCTGCCAGGCCATTGGGTGGTGCCAGGGCACGGAGGCAGGACAAGGACTCCAGGTGAAAGGAGAGCCTAAGGGAAGAGAGCATGGTACGTGAAGGCACTGCAGGATGCTTACCTACCTCACTATCTGGTCTATGTGATTTAGCTGAGCCAGGGTATACCAAAGCATGAGGTCTTTTCCGCCCTCAGCCTTCTCAGTGGCCAACAGGCTTCCCCCGGGACTTTATACAAATGTAAGCACTGCCAAGATTCCCATCTGGATATGTATCAAGCCTCTATGTTGATGACCAATGGTGTGGATGCTGCAGCACCCAAATCTCTTCCAGATCTGCAATTCTCTGTCCTCTTGGCCTGAGAGTCCAGCTCTCAGCAACTAGAATGGTTGCATCCAAACAATCTTACTTTCCTATAAAAGTTGTCAGCATGAGAAGCCCACTCAGGACTGTGGAGAATGCCACATGGAGATGCACTGGTGACGGTACTGGTGTCAGAGTGGAGGTCTGAGTAGAATTCTGAGGAGCAGCAGGCATGGGTCACAATCACTGGTGCCTCCTGTGAGGTGAGTAGCTGAGTAACTGGGGCCTGGAGTAGGAGTTACTTGGTCCTCTGTGCCTTCCCAAGGTTGGAATCATGTAAACCCATCATTTTAACAAAAAACAAGAAAAGGAAAGGGCCTTGGGAGATGGCTCAATGGTTATGACCATTTGGTGCTCTTTCCAGAGGACATGAGTCAAATTCTCTGCATCTACATGGCCCACCTGCCTGTTCCTCTAGCTCCAGAGGTTCCAATGCCCTCAAATTCTCAAAAGAGAGTTAAGAGCTTTTTTTTTTTTTTTTTTTTTTTTAAAGCCACTCTGGTTGGAGAGATTGCTTGGTTGGAAAAGTGATTGCTATGTAAACATGCACCTGTATAAAAAGCCTGGTTGGCAGCGGGGGAGACAGAGACAAGAGGATCTCTGACACTCACTAGCTGTTCCAGTTAAATCAGTGAGCCACAATTTAGAGGAGAAACCCTGCCTCAAAATTAAGGTTGAGGAAGTAATTGAGGAAGAGACACCATGTTGAGTGAGCTCTGTGCTCCACAAATGTGCACATGTGTACACATATGTGCATGAGCACACAAATGTGAACATGTGTA